GATTTTCCAGGCAAGAGTACTGGACTGGGACAGAAGAGACTACAACACACTGAAAAACTGTTTGTTGGGAACCCCATGGCAGTCCAGTGGTTGATTCCATGCTTTCAGTGTCCATACCTGGTCTGGGAACTAAGTTCCCTGCAAGCCATGCACAACGTGGCCAAAAAAAAAAAAAAAAACTCAATTATCCAAAATTCATATTTAACTGGTCCTTCTATGTTTAATCTGAGAACCCCATCCACGGTCACTATACCTACTATACCTCCAGGTCTCAAGGCCATGCTCCAAGCAGGAAGAAGCAAGTTTTCCTTCTGGTGAGACTGGTTTGTTCCTTTGGGAAGGGAAGCTATCCTTGGGTGCTTCTGGCTGCATCTCATTATGTTAGAACTTTCTCATGTGGGTAAGCTTGCCGTGGAGCTTTAAGAACATTATCTGCCAATGCAGAAGATGTGGGTTCAATCTCTGGGCTGGGAAGATTCCCCTGGAGAAGGAAATGGCAACCCACTCCAGCATTCTTGCCTGGAGAATTCCATGGTCAGAGTAGCCTGGTGGGCTACAGTCCATGGAGTCATAAAAGAGTCAGACATGACTTAGCAATTAAACCAACAAGCTTGCCACAAGACAGCCTTAAAAACTGAATTTTTCAACCTTTCATAACAGGAATAATAAAGGAAGGGGGTCTTACCTGACTTTTTGGAAGATAAAACCCCAACAACTACCAGGAAATATGTAATAGGCATAATAACTTTGAAATATGTTACTCACTCAAAAGGTGATTTCCCTCTCTCTGAATCCAATTAGTTTGTGGGGGTGGGAAGACAAATGCCCTCTGGGAAGAAGGATTTGGTCTAAAGACCTGCACTAATTGACATCAGCTGGGAGCTTTTTAGTAACTAAGACTCTGAGGCCCCACCTCAGACATATTGAATCAGAACCTGCATTTTAACAAAGGCCACAGGTGATTGTACATATATTAGCATTTGAGAGTAACTGACCTGGAAGAACAAGGGTTGTCACATTTGACTGTTACTGGAATAACCCAAAGAACTTAAAAAGTCCTATGCTAGTGATTCTGATTTCATTGCTGTAGGATGTAGCCTGAGCATGAAACCTCCCCAGATGGTTCCAATAAGCAGTGAAGACTGAGACCCACTGGGCTAACAACCGTGGTTCTCAACCCTGCATGAGAATCATTTGGGGCACTTTATTGTAAAACCACCAATGCCTGGGTCCCCTCAAAGCAGTTAAATAAGATATTTTTGAAGAGCTCTTGGATCATTCTAATCTGTGAGGACCAGGGCAAGGAAGTGGAAAATCTCATATTCTTTGGGAGAGTGCTGTTAGATGGGTTGAAGATACCACCGAGGCAGGGGAGGCCAGGTGGACACTGCCAAGGGCAGTGGGGGGCTTTTGCTGTGATTCATATTTCAGACTCCTGGAGAGGGTTCCCTCACAAGCAGCCACAGTAAGATAAACTGCCGCACAACAAGGTTAGGCAAGGTGATAAGGGGGAGGGGTGGGAGTGCACAGTTGCAGGGTTTCAACTTTCTGAGCTGTTCTACCCTGAGTGGCATGAACAAGACCCAGAAGTTCCCATACACACTCAAAATAGGACTCAGGAACTCAATGAACTGAGTGCAGAAGCACTGTCATGGTGCCCATTGTTCAAGAGCCAAGGTGACTGCCAGCCCAGGCTGAGGGACAAATGGAACTCAGAGCAGAGCCTAAGAGGGGCCCACAGTGCCAGCAAGAGCTGGGATGAGGTTTCAGCAGCCAGGAAGGGCTTCTGTATCCTGAGCTAGTCATGAGAGGCCAGCCTATACCAGCCACCAACATGGTCTGCAAACGCCAGCAGGACAAGCAGCAACCAGGCTGATGAGCAGTGTTGCTGAGACCAGAGGTGCCAGGGGACACTGCTCCAATCTAAGCAGTCCTCCATTCATGTCAGCACCTCAAGGGCACCTCGCCAGGGCTGACAGTCATGGTCTCCATCAGAAGGGCTGGACTGATTACTGGCGGCCAGCATCCATTCTGATTGGTGTTTGCCTGTGACAAATCAGTTGGTGAATATTTTGAATATCACTCCCTGGATAAAGTCACCCCTCTCTCTTCTCTGCCCAGATGCTACCTTGGCAGAAACAGAAGGAAAGGCAAAATCTGAGAAACAATCCACTTCACCCACATAGAATATTTTCATTTTTGCCCTGGACTAAGGTCACAAGATTAAGCTAAATTTTTCCAGCACTCCTGAGGGGATCTTAATCTTGTGACTTTAGGAATCTAAAGGACAGAATCTGAAGGACAGAAGTTTCTACACCTGAGGAAAACAGGATAATTTCAGATAAAATAAAGTAGCTGCAGGCTGCTTGTACATCTGGTAGGAGTGTGAAGAAACTTCTGTCCTTGTATAGACACGAGGATAATCTACTTCCTCTATTAAATGTTGATGTCTCTATATGACATCAATTTGTATTTCTCTATAGATTTATTCGGGAATCTTTTTTTTTTTCTGTTAATCTGATGTCAATCCCTAACAAAACATAATTTTCTCTATGTAAACAGGGAAAGGGAGATATAGAAAATTTATGGGTAAGTCAAATTGTTCTGGAAAAACTAAGAATTCTACCAAAAAGAAGAGCAGATGAACACTTGTGATTATACACTATAACCAGAAGGAAAAATGATCCACTATTGTGTGGGAAAGCAATGGATTGGCCAAGAATCCCAAGAGGAGAGCTGCTTACCAGACTGGATCCCCACCTCTGGAAGATAAAGCCTTTGGATAATTCCACCACTCGTATTTCATTGGGTTATTCCATGAGTGTTTAGCTTAACTCTGTGTCGGGTCTTATTTAAGGACCTGGGAATATAGCAATGAACAAAACAGACAAAAATGCCTGACCTCACACGTGTTACAGTTTCAGGGATAATGAGACAGACAATAGACCAAATAAATAAGTAGAAATATATGATTTTTTTGTATAGTGTTAAGAGCTATAGAGATCAAATTGCCAACATCCACCGGATCATCGAAAAAGCAAAAGAGTTCCAAAAAAACATCTATTTCTGCTTTATTGACAGTGCCAAAGCCTTTGACTGTATGGATCACAATAAACTGTGGAAAACTCTTGAAAGAGATGGGAATACCAGACCACNGGAGATCCAACCAGTCCATCCTAAAGGAGATCAGTCCTGGGTGTTCATTGGAAGGACTGATGCTGAAGCTGAAACTCCAGTACTTTGGCCACCTGATGCGAAGAGCTGACTCATTGGAAAAGACCCTGATGCTGGGAAAGATTGAGGGCAGGAGGAGAAGGGGATGACAGAGGATGAGATGGTTGGATGGCATCACCAACTCGATGGACATGGGTTTGGGTGGACTCCAGGCATTGGTGATGGACAGGGAGGCCTGGGGTGCTGTGGTTCATGGGGTCGCAAAGAGTTGGACATCACTGAGCGACTGAACTGAATTGAACTGAAGAGCTATAGATAAAAACTATATGGAAAAAGGAGACGGGAATGTCCATGGTAGGGTTATCTTTTTAAGTAGGATGATTCAAGAAAGCGTAACAGAGAGGGTGACATTTGAGAAATAGTCTTGAGGACATGAGGAGGCAAACCATGTTGATATGAAGGAGAAGCACTCCTGGCAAAAGGCAGGCAGATACAAAAGCCCTGAGGTGAGGAGGTGCCTGGAATGTTCGAGGAACAGTTTGGGTGAACGGGGGAGGAGCAGGAGATGAGGTCAGTGAGTGGGTATGCACAAGTGACAGAAGGAAACCACTCTGCTTCAGTCCAAGCCGATTCTTCACCTGCATTTTCAGCTTTCCCAGACAACTCATCATACAGGAAGTCACCAAACCCATCACTACCGGCACTAAAAGAAGGCATCTAGAAAAGACTTTCAGCTTCTCCTTAAGATCCTCATTTACTGCTAAAGCTTTCTCTTTAGTTGTGAGGAAAATTACCCCAGATCATTTTGAAACATTAAAGTGCCGGAGAAAAACAAACCTGGCCAACTGGCACTTAATACTGACAAATTCTCCTGGTTTATCAGTCACGCCTGAGCTAATCTGCCTTAAGGAAATAGGGATCATAGCTGAACGGCTCCAAGTTGTTTCTAGTGAAGATGCTGGACCACGTGTTAAATGGCCAAAAAAGCAAGAGAGTCACTGGGAAGAGAAGAATGGTGGGTGCTTTCTGATGATCTTTCCCGCATCTATTACTCGCTCCTCCGCAGAGCTCTCAGTCTGTGTTTCCAAGTGCATGTGTGCTCTGCTGTGCCCAGCAATTTTTGTGATCCTGTGGGTTGTAGCCTGCCAAGTTCCTCTGTCCAGGGGATTCTCCAGGCAAGAATACTGGAAGGTGTTGCCACGAACCCCCTCCAGGGGATCTTCCCGACCCAGAGATCAAACTCATGTCTCTTATGTTTCCTGCATTGGCAGGCAGGTTCTTTACTACTAAGTGCCACCTAGAAAGCCCCTCCCATTGTTAAACCTTATGGTAACGACTCCCGCTTTCCCCTACATATCGGGTTGGCTGAAAAGCGAATGAACTTTTCGGCCAACCCAATACTTCTGAAGCACTGAGGATGATGAAGATCAATTTCCAATCATTCCTGCAAATAGTATGTGAAAAATTAAGGTTTAATGATGCTTACTGGTTGTTTCATTTTGAATCTAAAACCCTGGACTTCAGAAATAATGGAATTTGGTATAACATTTGAATATCTTGCTTTTGCCTCCTTTTGTTCTTATGGAAAAAGCAAGTCATCTTCTAGAAGGTGCCAGAGGTACTTTCTATGACAAAATGAGCCTTCCTCTAGTATCCAGTTTCACAGTTACCCAGTATGAAATCTCAGAACTGAGATGCAGGTTCTGAATTGTCCTGGACAGTGGATCTCACTAGAAACAGAAACTTCACCAGGTCCTGTTCAAAGGACTTTCTCCTGTAACAGTGTTCAATACTGGAACACAGGAAACTGTGCTGAAATAATCAGATCTGTGCAAAAATAGTTTATTAAATAACATAAGAAAGATTATGAAGGACAGTTCCAAAATGCCCACACATGTGGCTTGTAAAGGTGCATTTTTCATAAAGATCTGTACAGCTTAAAGCATGACATCCTGCAGGGGAGGCTCCTTTATTCCAGGATTTGGCAGAATTTATTTTCATCTTCTATGCATGAGCCACCAAAGTAAAAAAAAAAAACTCACCCCTCTTTAGCAAAGGGTGAGGTTTTCATGTAACCGTGGGGCTCTCAGGGCGCTTCTCATGAAGAGCAGCCACTCTAATGACCACCATGGAGCAAGTTTTCATTCTTCATTGATGAGACATAAAGAATATTACAGAAAAATCCAAGTCTAGAAGTCACTCTCAAACATACATGTAGAAAAGTTATTATCAGAATACTGTCAAGCTTTAACAAATTGGAAAAGCCTGTGACTTTTGCACTGTTTCTCAGAGTCAGTGGCTCTATAGGGTGATATTCACCATCAGTGACTTCACCCGGGGTTTCCTTTCATGACAGTCTTGCAGGATGATCCTCTGGGTTGGCAGTCCCTTTAGGTCACCAGGTTTCTGCAATCTCTGTAAGAACTTGCAGCAGCTCAGCAAATGTCGGGCGGCCTTTAGGTTTCTGGAAAAGGGAATTGGAGGCGGTCAACTTAGTTTAAGACTCACACAGAGACCAGCTCTGGAACTTGCTGGCAGGACCTGGATCCAGGCTGGTTCACCACGAACAGAAGAGATGGATATCTTGGCTGATACATAGGGCATGAACAGCAGTTGAGCGAGGCAGGGGTGTGAAAACATAAGGGAAGAGATCGCTGCAAAAATAAAATGGCTAGAGATGCAAACACTAGCCGCATGTGGCTATTTAAATTAACTGAAATTAGATACATCTTAAAATTCAGTTCTCAGTCACCCTAGCCACTTTTCAATTCTTTGATAGCCAGTATGGCCTGACCTATTGGACAATGCAGATAGCATATTTCCATCACCACAGAACGTTCCATAGATCTGCCCTAGAGATCTATTTGGATGACTTGATATGCATGGAATAAAGGAAGAGCTGGGAGAGAGGGGCCTCTAGAGTCCCAAATCCCCAAGTTCAGCCCCAGTTATTCACTATACCTGACCCCCTGTAGAAAGACAGATTTTAGTCAGAAAGCAAAAGGCATATTTCCATGAGGGCCTTTTCAGGTCTTGAAGCATTGATTGTGTTGTCTTAAGGCTCAGTCAATAAATTCCCAGCCATGAAGATTAGAGCCTTTTTTGTATTTCACAGTGGGATGTGGTTTGACTTTGACTCCATGAGGAAGCTCCATGGCATCTTTGAAATCCATGGGAAATAGAAATATTCATAGAAGTAGAGGACCCTGGCAACAGAGTTAGTAGGGAGACACCACGCCTAGTGGCTTATAAACAGACGGCATCAATAAAAGTACAGAGTAGGAGACAACCTAAATGTGCATCAGTGCAGGAATGGATAAAGAGGAAGCACATATATACACTGGAATACTACTCAGCCATAGAAAAGAGAAAGTAATACCATGTGCAGCAATGTGGGTAGACCTAAAGTTATCATGCTGAGTGAAGTCGGTCAGAAAGAGAAAGACAAATACCACATGATATTACTTATATGTAGGATAAACTGTGAAACACATGAAATTATCTATAAAAAAGAAACAGACTCATAGAGAACAAATGTGTGGTTGCCAAGGGTGAGGGGGAGTGGAGGAGGGATGGATTGGGAGTTTGGGATTAGCAGGTACAAACTATGGCCCTGCTGTATACACAGGGAACCATATTCAATCTCTTGTGATAAACCGTAACAGAAAGAATAAGAAGAATGTACGTACATGTATAACTGGATCACTTTGCTGTGCAGCAGCAGTTAATACACAACACTGCAAGTCAACTACGGTTTAATAAACTAAATTTTGTAAATAGAGCAGATAAAATATAAAAATTAAAGGACAGAATAGAAAGATATGTGAGCACATGTGAGAGTCTTCCTTGAGACTTCGAGGATAAATAGTGGAGCCTGTTGCTGGTGCTGAGGTCGTGCCAGTAGTAGAGCCAATGAAACAAGTGTAACCATGCTAATATAATCATGTTTGAGTCTAGAGATGCTTAAGCATCTTGTTTACTTGGTCCTCTTGTCAGCATCTTATTTACTCCTTTCTCTGTCTCCTTTCCACAGATATATAAAATCTCAGTAAGTATTATATTGTATGTGCATGTACAAGTATAGTGCTTTTAAACATGTACATTCCTGAGCTATTTACATTATTATTGCAAAGATGCTCTTCAGACATCTATTTGCTACTAACAGCTTACTTAATATTTTTTTTATGTCTTTCAAGATTCCTTGCAGAGCAGTTAATCATATGTGAAGTATTTTCATACACTGGGGATATTTATAAAATTAATACTTCTCTGGAATGGAAACAACCATGTTACTTCTGAAATACTGAATTTTTTTTAGTGTTTGTGAATTGGAAGTCAAGTGATTTCTTTTTTGGCCAGGAGGAGATCCTCATCCAGCTGTAGATATTCTGGGCTGAAACTGTCAACTGGAAAGAGAGAAGAACTGTCAAAGTCACAGTGGAGTCTGGTGATGGGGAGGGGTGTGTTGAGTTGTGCCCAGAAAAGACAGAGGTGGGATGTAAACACTTCTGGTTTTGTTTTTAAGCTTGGCATTTTAAGTAAAAGAGAAACTGGCCTTCTGAGAGAGTGTTTTCTGAGTACAAGTTCCTGGTACACTTCTGTCTTCATTCCTATTCTTGTTTAATCTATCAGGAGTCTCAAATGCCACAGGAGAGATGAAACCCATTACTCTTAGCCTTGGAAAAGCAAGACAAAGTAGAGTAGAGTGAAGTAAACGAAAACACCATCCTTTTCTTTCGATGTGAAAATTGACAAGTCTGATTCCACCCTTAGTTTCCACCCAGAAGTTCTTAAAAGGAGTAAAACCTCTCATCACTGAGGCTTTAACAACATTGAGAGTTTCTGTAGGAACCAATTTTGGAAAGATAAGACTTAGAAAAGGTACTGAATTCCTCAGTTGAAAGGCCACTGTTAAAATGGGTTAATGATTTCTGTTGTGGAAGTACTTCTGGCTCTCAGGGATAATTACCAAGAAATAGAAACCTTTTCCTGCCACGACAGAATCCTGGGGTAACATGGGTGATAATCAGTCTGCTCTCAGATGTGGGAACTGCCAACCTTTGCAGGGAAGTAAGGGCACTCACCTCATGCCAGCAGCTATACATGACTTCATATATGGACATTGGTGCCAGGTAAGGTCGGTACAGCCTGAAGCCTTTAGAAATAGCTTCCACAACTTGCAAATTTGACCTATTTTCAAAAGGCATTTTTCCTTCTGAAAAAACTTCCCACATCAAAACTCCTGAAAATAAAACACATAAAAATAACAAGTTAGAGAGAGGTGGTTACTTGGAACTGAAAGAGCAGTTTCTAATTACAAGGCATTATTTCCCTCCTGCGGCCATGGAGTTACAATCATCCACAATGACTGCAGTTCTATTCAGGAAGCAGATCCTGTGCATCTTAGTTTTTGAAGAGGTCTTAAACTGAATATATTCCAAGGGAAAACAATTCCTTCCCTTTTCTGTTGGTCCCAACTGCCTCCTTATTGGAAGAAAATGCTTGCAGCATCTTTAATTCAAAGTACTATTCATGTCTCCACACCCTGACATCAATGAAACTTTCTACCATTCCATAGGAAATAGCAATATTGTGTAATCCCCTGCTGCCTGCTAAGGCCAGGAAAACTCCTGACCAGTAGATGGCATCCATTTCCCTCTTTCCACTGAAAGACTGCTGAGGAGAGTCCCAGAAAATCTGGCAGGGGTTCTGTTTATATAAGCAGGTGTTCAAAAATCATTGATGGCTGATGAAGCTCCTTCAAGTCTCTCAATTTGAGTTCATTTAATTATTCACTTATTCTACAAATATGTGTTATGTATTCATCAGACTCCACCCTTATGCTAGAGCCACAGAATTCTTAAGATTGAAATCTGTCCAAGTTCTTAAGAATTTAAGAAGCTTACTGTCCAGTGAGGATGAAAGACAGGTGGTCAGGTAAAACTCAAGGGTTTCAAATTGTTCTACAACCAGCATTCAGTTTAGTTCAGTTCAGTTGCTCAGTCCTGTCCGACTCTTTGAGACCCCATGAACCACAGCACCCCAGGCCTCCCTGTCCATCACCAACTCCTGGAGTTCACCCAAACCCATGTCCGTCGAGTTGGTGATGCCATCCAAACATCTCATCCTCTATCATCCCCTTCTCCTCCTGCCCCCAATCCCTCCCAGCATCAGGGTCTTTTCCAATGAGTCAACTCTTCGCANTGTTCCGTGTCCAGTTCTCACTGTTGCTTCCTGACCTGCATACAGGTTTCTCAGGAGGCAGGTCAGTGGTCTGGTGCTCCCATCTCTTTCAGAGTTTTCCAGTTTGTTGTGATCCACGGTCAGAGGCTTTGGCTTTGGTCTCACAGCTCAACCGCTCTCCAGCAGAGCTTAAAACGCCCCCAGCCAAGACTATCACATGTCAGTGGCGAGCTAATGAGATCAATACAGGCTAAACCTCACTGTGGGCAATAATATTCACACCCTTTGAGGGTACAGATGTCTCTCAAAACCTGAGAAGGCACCCAGGAAGGTCAAGGTGAAAGAGAATAGATAGATCATTTATACGTTGATTGCCATTTTCTGAAAGTCAAAGAACAAATTCCATCAGACGTGGGTCCACAGTATCTCTTTTTCAATGAAGAACATTACCCAATATAAATAGCAATTGATAAACCTCAAGGAAGCCTATGTCTAATTTCACAAAATATGGGAATAATAATGTAAATGAGATGGCATCACTGATAGTCAAGCAATGAAGGTTATTAATTACACTCAAGATTAAATGATGCTGTAAGAGCAGTTTTCCTTGCAAATCTCTGTGGTGTGGGAAGGTTGGATGAATTTGTTTTCTGAACCAGCAGACTGTAATGGTTTTTACAGCAAGTGCTCACTGGGAAAGGAAAAGACCCTAAAGGCAAATTTATGTAAGAAGGTTGCCAGCTGCCAAAGACAATCTGATGTGTTAGAACACCTGAGACAGAAACATGGTTATAAGAAGACTTTTAGCTAGATCATATTAAGAAATCAAAGTTTAAAAAGCAATCTCTATTTTATTCAATAAAGCTCTAACAAATGAACATCAAATTCACTCACCGAAGGACCAGACATCAGATTTGCTGCTATATCTGTTGAAATGGAAAACTTCAGGAGGAGACCACTTGACTGGGAACTTGGCTCCAGAAGAACTGACATATTCATCATCCAAAACGTACCTAGGGCGATCAGATTTCAGAGCACATTGTGTTAACCACCCCTAAGTCCTGGGTACTTCTAATCCTTTTAGTTAACCCTGATTTCTAAAACACAAAGTATTTTACTACAGAAAGGCTCAGTATACCTTCTCTTCTCTTCTTACTCTCAAGGTGGGAAAGTGACCCTTATACAGTTTCCTCCTTAAACCAAACCTCCATTGCGTTTATTATATTTGAATCTCAGAAAACCATAGCAATTCTTCAGTCTAAAACAGGCCTGTGGTTTAATAGTGCCAGGCATGAAGGAATCTTGCAGACAGAAATTCAGGATGAGTCAGCAACCACCTGTGTGAAGAGTCAGACAAGGACAAGACAGGATGATGGTGGCTGCGGGGAAGACAGTGTCTGTGGATAGCAACAGGGACCAGTCAGGCCATCTCTAGAATGTGGCCCCATGAGACAGAAGGAGTTTGGATTTTGACCCTGAAGAGAGTCAGGGAGAAAACCTGAAATCACTAGGATTAAATTTCTAGCAACCTGAAGGAAAGCAGACTCAAAATATAAATTGCACTGAGTTGTTGAAAATAAGGTTTTCCAACCTTATGTTCACACCCTTGCTGTCTGTCAGCTACTAGTTGATAAGAGAAATGCAGGAAAGGGACAGCAAAGTCAGAGCTGAGCAAACAGATTCTTTTTTTTTCTATTTCAGAAACATATAAGGAAAACTTTTCTCTTAACCTTCTACATATGATAAGTAGACTGGGAAATTCCTTTTATTTTTAAGGGATGACATACTTTTATTGATAACGACCTGACACGTCAGAAGACTAGCCCACAGTCTCAGTTTCCCTTATAGCTAAATTGGTGCCTGTCCTAAAGCTCAAATTGGGTCAGCAGGACATCCAACCACATCAACACTTGCTTCAGGGAAAAAAGAGCAAAGCCAATAACACCTTCAGTTTGTCTACAAATGAATGTAAGATTCCCTACTATGAGTAAACAAAGAAAGAAAATGTATCATGTACCTTGTCAGTCCAAAGTCCGAAATTTTTATTATACATGTAGAACTGACCAAACAATTCCTTGCTGCCTGTAGAAAGAAGAAAAGAATCCAGATTTGAATACAAAGTTTTTTTTCTTTCCAGAGTTTGTACTCTTTTCCTTATTTCCTTTGTGGCTCAGCACTACCTCTGAGTGAATAGCCATGTTACTTCATGGTGATAACTGTCGATGCTACATAGGATTTAATGTATCTGCCCTTGCAAGAAGGATTTTAGTGATCTTTTTGAAGAAATGATAAAAAAAGTAGAATTTTAACTAACTTTTTTCCTTTTTAAAATGTGTAATCTTTCTCAAGAAGTATCCTTGACAAGTATCAGGATAAACTCAACCTAGAGGTAAAAAACTATGAATCTTGATATAAAAAACAGTGTGTATTTAAAACTTTACCTTTATAAATAAAAAGAGGAAAGTCCAATATGCATGAAAAATAAAAGATCATTATATATGTTTGGGATAATCATTATATAAAATTACTTATAGAAATTAAGAAATTGTATTTAAAACTTACATTTCATTGAATGTAACTGTTTACAATTGATATTTTCTTATTTATTAAATCACAGTGAACTAAATATAGTAGTATATAATGCAGAAATTATTTAATGCCAAGACAATCTATTTTCAGTCAGCTTAGTCAGGAAAATCATTGACTTGATTTTTTAGTCTTATGTAGGTCAAAGGTTTGACAGAATTTTTCTCTTTTGAGCTAATTTGTGGTTCAGTTAGTTCAAACAAAAGAAAAAACTTGAAATGGAGAGCCAGCAGGAGCCAGTCTGGAAGATGTTGACAAATGCCAGCAATGATCTCAAAGTCAAACCACAAGGCAAGCCCTCAGCAGAGAAAACACGCATTGTTAGCTGGCATACCTTAAGTGGCACATAGGTGGGGAAAACGGGGCACCAGAGAAAGGGGCGAGGGAGGAGCCAAGACTAGGCAGCTCTGCAAGGAGACAGCTGGAGCAAACCTGACTGAATTTTGAATCTAATCTTTGCGGGGAGGACAAACCGCAGAGACTAGGAAGGTGAGTTAGGTGGAATCGATACCATATCCATCCAATAAAATGTGTGCTCAATGCAACTCAGGCCAGACACTGGGGAATGTGTCATGAGGCATGTAAAACAATGGTGGAGCTTTTCTACGTGCCAGGCACTGCTTTAAGAGCTTACACATATTAATTCATGTAATCCTCCCAGTAAGCCCATAGGAAGAAGGTGCTATAATTAACACCACTTGACTAGTTAACTAACTTACTTAAGGTCACATGGCTAGTAAGAAACAAAGGCAAGATTTCAACTAGCTCTGAGGCAGGGTATGCCATCTTGACTACATAATGAACTTATAAGGGAAATTTTCCAAAGAAGCTGATCACTAGATGTTTACCCCCAAAGACTGTGATTTCATTGGTTGGTGGTATGGGCTTGCTACTGCGATGTTTTTTGTTTTTTGTTTTTTCACAGATGGGGATGGTTACTGCGATGTTTTGAAGCTCCCAGGTAATTCTAATGTCCAGCTGAATTTGAGAGCCATTGCTCGGCAACTTGCTCTCTCAGGACACTGAATTGCAGCTCAGAAGTCAACACCTTGATGTCAAGGAGTCTGGAGTCTAATATTTGTGTAAACAATGTAAACAATTATTAAAGGAGGTAGTAAATAATTAATGCCAATGAGAGCTCTAAACCATGTGTAGGACAAGCAGTGGTGTGCTGGGGCTAATGAAATTATGACCCCTTTCTTTCCCCAAAATAGTCCAGCCTGAATGACAGATATTATGGTCACCCTAGTCATGGATGATGGAAGTTTAGGATTACCTGTAAGTGTCAGTAACAGGGACTTCTCATAAATTCTCAAATTTTCATTGGATTTAATTTGGGAACTTAGAAACGAGACATGAAAGGACACAGAAGGAACAGTCCGAATATCATGAATAAATATGGAGCAGATAGAAAGTGTTCTTCAAGGGGAGGTAGCAAGGCAGGGAAGCAGAGCTATTTGCTTCTGAGGTAAAACAAGCTTTGATCTTTTTGTTTGGTTGCTTGTTCTGAGCAAAACAGAACAGAATGGTTTAACACTTCAAGGCCTTCTAAATAATGCCAGTAGTGCTTTTACGATGCTGTGAGAGCCAAACCACCTCCACTCGGAGGCAGTTTCACCCACTGGGTGAGACCCCCTGGGGCTGGTTCTTCAGCCTGGTCCTCCAGCACCTGGCAAAGAGCTTGCCATATATAAGCACTTAATATGGGTTTGGTTATTGGCTGAAAGACTGCAGTAAGAGAAGGAAGAAGAAAGGGGGAGAGAGGAAAGAAAGGCAGTTTTAGTTGATCTGTTGGTGAACAGTTAGTTCAAGACACATGCAGAGCAGCATCTTACTTGGCTACAGCATCAGCTGGCAATAGAAAATAAAGCTACATTTCCCAACAAATTACATGAGTAGAAAAATGTTTTAAAATTAAGCCAAAGGATGCATCACTTAGAGTATTAAAAGTCCTAACTTTCAATATATGTTTAATACACAAAACAGTCAGCAAATTTGCACTGTACTTACTAAATCTCTATGGATAAAGCAGTTTCTCTCCAGATACTCCATTCCTTCACAGATATCTTGGCACACACTCAGTAGCATCTCCTTGCTAAGCTTTCCTTTTCTCTCTCTCAGATAGTTAAGCAGGCAGCCATTTTCCATAAACTCTGTCACAATATAGAGGGGCTTCTGCTGTATACACACTCCATAAAGCTGAACCAGCTTCGAATGAGATAACTTCCTGTTGAAGAAAACACAGATCCATGAGCAAAATAGTGTTTGCTTTTTAAAGTGTTTGAATTCAACTTGTGATATTTACCATTTCCATATAATGCTCATCATCAAGCTATGATTAAAACTAACTCAAGCACAGAGCAAGTAGAACAGTTTCCTTCCCACTTTATGTGCTAAGAGAGTGGGGTCAAGAGGTTATGCGGTACTGCTTCCTAAGTTGTGGTACATACAGAATAGTCCATGCCCCATATTCTATTTTTCTTTTTTCCATTTTGTAAGCCTTTTGTTTCCTCTTTAGTGCTGCTCCTTGCCCAGTTCCTGTTCCTTGAGTTTCAACCTTCCCAAGCACAGCTGTCTAGACAAAAAATTTGGGACAGACAGAGGGAAGAAAGAGCAATTGATATGAGAGGCCACTGCAACGGGAAGCGTGTGCGCCGCAGCGAGAGCAGCCCCGGCTCCGCGTGACCACAGAAAAGCCCGCGCAGCGGCGATGACCCAGCATGGCCGAAAGTAAAATAAATCTAAAAACTTCTGTTTAAATAAATGAAATGATACAAATGAACAACAGAAACAGATTCGCAGACTTAGAGAATGAACTTAAGGTTACCAGCTGGGAAAGACTGGGAGAAGGGATAGTTAGGGAGCCTGGATCCACACGTACACACCGCTGTGTCTGAAATGATAGCCAGCAAGGGCCTATTCACAGCAGAGATGACTCTCCTCAGCGCGACGTGGCAACCCGGGCTGAGGGGCGCCTAAGGGAGAACGGATGCGTGACCAAGTCCCGGGCGCCCAAGGGAGAACGGATGCGTGACCAAGTCCCGGGCGCCCAAGGGAGAACGGATGCGTGACCAAGTCCCGGGCGCCTAAGGGAGAACGGATGCGTGTAATGCATGACCAAGTCCCTTTGCTGTTCACCCGAAACTATCACACTATTAATCGGCTATGGTCTAATAGAAAACAAAAAGTTAAAAAAAAGAAAAAAACTTCTTAGTCATCTATTTGTCAAAAGTTTATTGTTTCTTTTGTACTATAATATTCAGTCCCTAAAGCCCTTTTATGCCAACTAGTCAACTTGAACATGGAATAGAATATTCAAATTAGTGTTTGTAACTTTAGGAGGTATATAATAAACTATATTTTGTTAGTCAAAAGTACCTTGAAATGTTACTTCTTTTCATTCATAAAGATAATATAAGATCAATGAATCAGGGAGATTAATTTTATTAAACAACATGTATGAGTGATTGATACATTCCCATATAATGAGCAAACAGAAACACTCCAGTTAGTAGGGGACAAAGATATTCAAGAACCTATACATAATTTTCATTTGTAGATATATGTGTTATATGGTGGCACTAGTGGTGAAGAATCTGCCTGCCAGGAGACACAAGAGACAGGTTTCAACTCTGGGAAGATTCCCTGGAGTAGGAAATGGCAACACACTGCAGTTATTCTTGCCTGGGAAATTCCATGGACAGAGGAGCCTGGCAGACTACAGTCTATGGGATCACGAGAGTCAGACACAACTGAGCAACTGAGCACACTCATGTACATATTACATGTGTAGATTCTGTCGGATTTACCTTTCTAATTCACGAAGTGTATTTTCACTTAGGGGATGCAGCAAACATGTGTGCAGAATAATGGCAGGGAGGCAATTCTTTAAATGGAAAACTAATTTTCCACGAGAAAGCCACCAAATTGATATTCACATGTAAGCATTTAAGAATTAGAACATTACACTGTATTTGCTCAATAAGGCCACTAGCAAAAGTTTATCAGAAAAAAAGAAATAACCTTTATCAGAAATAAAGCAAGAACAAATAAATAAACCCTCACTTGTATGGTTCAGTCTAACAAATAGGACAAATATTTTTCAAGGGCACAGAAAGATGCAAACAGAAAAAGAACACTGTTGTTTGCTGTAACTTTAGGACCCATTAATAAAAATTCCTTTCTCATCTTAGAAAAATGCCTATGATTCACTGTAGAACAAATATGTCATATTTATGTAAATTTGTTACTTAAATATTTTCAAACTCTGTAGTCTCCTTCTCTTCTAATTGTTCTTTTTTCCCATGTGATCAGATCAAGTTTCAGAGTTTTTAACGCTATCTGTGGTGACCAGGCTGACCTCTCTCCTGAACTCTAGACTCATTATGCACTTGACCCTTGGTCATACTTGGCTACCCACTAGGTCTCTCAAATTCAACATGTCCAAAGTAGAATTACTCATTTTTCCTCCAAAACTATTCCTCAGCCAGTCTCTCCCATTTCAGTAAATTGTGCCATTCTCTGCCTAATAGTGCACCCAAGACCTTGGTTTTCACTTTTTGGTCCCCCAGTCTCCTTAAGTGATTTGCCGCATCTAATTTATCAGCAAGTTCTGATAATTTTATCTCAACAATGTATCCTGAAACTATTCTCTTCTTTATCTCTGCTATCATCCCTTTCACCATCATCTTCCACCTGCTTTATCAAAAGGGCTCCTAAAAATGTATAATGAGATTTGAAATAAAAGTGAAATATTTTCCCGCAAAAGTTTAAATTGCTCAAATTAGAAGTATATATTTAAACATCTCAGAAGAAGGATTTAAATTTTAATTCCTTCTTTTTGATAGAGATTCTAGGTGAGATTTTACAGGTGAGGAAATTGAAGCTTGGAAAAATGAAATAACTCAAGCCACAGAGAAGCCAAATAATTCACCCAGGTCCCACAACTAGCTTGGGCAGAGTTGTGACACAAATCCACTTGTGACTGACTCCAAAATCCATGTTCTTTCCATGACACCTGGATGTTGTGCCATACTTATCTGGGTTTTATGTATACTTACATCATCACTTTAGCCTCTTCAATGAAATCCTCTTCAGACATGAAGCCTTCGTTGATGGCCTTGATAGCTACCTGGACATGTGCTCGCCATTGGCCTAAATAGACCACCCCAAACTGACCGCTTCCAATCTGCTTCACAAAAGCCAACTCAGATGGATCTATCTCCCACTTTTCTGGAAAAGTAAAATATCCATGTTACAAGCAAGGAAAAATGTTAAATTTTAGAGCTAGAAAAGATCTAGGAATTATCTCGATCTATTTTCTTTTATTTTTCAGAGGTTGAAAACATTTATAAATGAGTAGAAAGGGCCTGTTACCATTTTAAATACTATCACTGTGGCTTAAAAGTATACTTCCAGAATTCAAGTTTAAATGCAATAATTTCTAAAGGAATTTTGTATGTTGAGTCATGCCATATAAACACATTTTTGTAAAATAAGTAAAAATAAACAAAGATACAAATCTCACTTACTTGGAGAGAAATTATGGGTATCAAAACAGGCTTTTTCTTTCCCAAGAGACCCAGAAGGAAACACTGTTCTGTGTCTTCTAAACTAAAACTGCCCAAACCAGATGTGGGACCTAAATTTGTACATCCCTAGACTGTTTTTGTTCTGATAAGTAAACTTGTGAGGTAGAGAAAACCTCGGCTCCCCACACCCCCACCCCCACCCCAGTTTCTTTTACTGTTCCTCTGCCACTCCCACCCCTAAAGGGCTTTTTTGCTCTTTCTCTTTTGCAAAAAGTCTAAACAATTCATCAAATAAATATTTTTAATATTAAGATTCTAACCTATATCTAAGTGTATGTTTGAAATGATATTTACATTACTGAATATATCTCATCCTATAGAAGCAAATCAGTGGGGGTGGAGGGGGAGGACTATTTTTAAAATAATGCTTTGGAAAACTCTGAGAATCAAATCTTAGCTTTTTAGTATCCCCTTTTATATAGCAATGCCACCATCTGCTGGAACTTTAAGATAATGCATTTAAAAGAATTGAAGGGAATTCCCTGGCTGTCCAGTGGTTAGGACTTCATGCTTTCACTCTCCAGTGCCCAGGTTGAATTTCTGGTCAGGGAACTAAGATCTCACAAGATGTGAAGCACGTTCTCCCCTACCCCTGTCTNCTGTGAGGTACCCCCCCCCCCCCCCCCCCCAAAAAAAAAGAATTATAAGGACTGATGGACCTTTGTATCAGGCTTTGCAAGGTACTCCCTTTTTCAAATAGTAGGTGTGTTTTTAAAGTAACATAGGAGAATGTATTCATGATCTTGGGATTGGCATAGATTTATTCAATAGAATATAACCATAGGAGATATATACTGATAAATTATACTTCATAAAATCTTATTTATCAAATACAGCCCATTAAGAAAATGAAAAAGTAAGCCACAGACTGGGGGAAGATATTTCTTAAAATATATAACCAACCTAAGAAGTCCTTTTCAAAATAATAATAAATCAACTAGGAAAAGGCATATAATCCTATTTTTAAGTGTTAAATAAAAACTTGAATAGAGTTTTCTCTCACAAAAGAGAATACCCAAAATGGCAACTGAACCTGTGAAAAGTTGATCAGGGAAATTGCATATTTAAGCCAAAATGATATACGCACACATGCACTAGATTAGCTGAAATGTGAAGAAACACCAAGCCAGAACACACACACACACACCACAAGGATGCAAAACACTGGCAGGGACAAAGACGTGGAACAGTGGAAACTCACATATGTCATTGACTGAAATGTAATTTGGGCTAAGTTCTTTGGAAAACTGACTAAATCTGAGTGTGTGCATACTCTATGACTGAGCAAATCTAAGTATACATCCAACATTGTCTGGGCATAAATGTGATTAAACTTATCAAAAGACAAACAAGAATGTTCATAATATTATTTAGAAAAGCCAATAATTGGTTACAACCCAAATGGCTGTATGAAGAAAAATGGGCAAGCCCATTGCAGTCGAGTCACAGAGCGCAGCAGTGTAGAGCCACATGGATGCACCGACCACGAGCTGGCTGGTTCCGACACCACGAGTGAATTCCCTCACGGGCCGGTGGGAGAAAGAAGTCAGACATGGATGCACTGTGTTGAATTTTGTTTATATAAAGCAATCAAAATGAGACAAAATTAATCAGACTCTAGATTTATAAACTTATATACTGTTAAGGATATTTAAATTTTGAAAAGTTTATTTTTTTAATGAATGAGGACCATATTTAACTTAGATAAATTGCTGATGATAGAATTTTTAAACATGTAGTATTTATGGGGTAGAGGAATAATCTAAGCACCCATAAAACTCTGGAATCACCTTTCCATCCCAATTCAGAGACTGAGTCCTGGGTGCCTGCTACACAATAATTGTGTGGTGTTTTTTTTGTTTGTTTGTTTGTTTTTTTTTTAGCATATTCTTAGTCCCCATAGTGAGATAAATTTCAGGAAATAAAGTATTGCCAAATTAGAAAGAAATATTCTTTGGCTCTTATTTATTCTCATAGATTTGCAACTACCACATTCACTAGAAAATAGTTCAAATCAAACTTCACCCAAGTTCTATTTGAAAAGGTGAAAAGGACAGATTTAGCAGCTCATTTTAGTAGGTCCCATTGGGAGGAAGTCATTTTCCAGTCACCCACATAACTAGAGAGCAAGAACCCAATCATTCAAGAAAAAGAATTGGAATTTATCAAACAGGTTCCAAATAATGTATAATGAAACTTGAAGCAAAAGTGAAACATTTCCCCCAAAGTTTAAATGCCCTTATGAAATGCATTTAAATGCATTTAAATCTCAGAAAGGAGATTTAATCTTTGAGGATAAAACATATATTAAGACAGACATCTCAAAAGAGCTGACAATTTAAAGAACACAGAGGGAACTTGGGGTAAACTCTTTACTGGATTCGATTTTTATTGAGCACACATGCATACTTTACCATAACTGAAACCAGCTGTGGCTGGCAAACAACTGCCCATCAGACCAACTGGGTAACGGAGACGGGACAAGAGCCCTGGGGAGAAAGAGAAACCAGCATTTCAATCCTAGCTCCTGGTACAAGAGGAAAAGCCAAATATACCAGAAGATGGAACCATTCCCTAAACAGATCAGCCAAAGAAAGTATTCTACAGCTACTCTGTTTGCTTATTTTTCCTATTTGAAAAAGACTTCTCATAATATAGTATATGCTCATTGAACACAAGTTAAAGAATCCAAGAAAATACAAAAACGAAAAGGTCCCTTACAAAATCTTAGTATCCAGAGATACTTTGTTATCATTTTTGGGACCATCTTTGCAAAAATCTCTATCTGTGTATTTGAACGTATATACACATCTGATATGTTTCATGGAAATGCCAATGTTTTGCTATAAACTTCTTACACTCAACAAATAATCGATATACATCAATGACTATAAATAGACCTTAAAATTATTTCCAAGATTTCACTATAGGAAAACATGCTGTATGCTGAGGGGAGTGACATGAGGGTAAGAGCATGGCAAGCAAAAGGATGAAATTGAGATAGCTCATGTTTGGTGACTGACTTTTTTTTTATTTTTTAAAACAATATAGTTGATGCACAATATTATATAAGTTACAGCTGTACAATAAGGTGTTTCACAATTTTTAAAGGTTACACTCCACTTATAGCTATGATAAAATATTAGCTATAAGTCTGTATGTTGTACAATATATCCTAGCAGCTTATTTTACACATAGTTTATACCTCTTAGACTTCAATTTTCTTAGTGAAGTAGAGAGGCAATTTGCTGATGGGCAGTGGATAATACTGGAAAGAGGGTTTTTGAGGAGAATGGTAGAAGTTTGAACAGAAAGCAGGAAAGGATGCTTACTAGTGACTCTGAAGACCTAGTTGGGATTAGAGCCCTCATCAAATTGGGACTCTATGACACATGATCCAAATAAAAACACAAGAGGAATTGCTTTAACACCCTAACACTTCCCTCTGAACTCAAAGTTTTTGTTTGCCAAATATTTTTATTCTGTGAATTACTACCAACAGTTTAGTGACAGTGTATCTCTCTGATATAAACAAAAAAAGTCTGTCACTCTCTTTGCACTATCCTTACTTCTGGTAAGGAGATGGATTGTTACGAGCTAAAGTGACCAGAAGTCAAAAAGTAGATGGGTCAGTCATGGGTTCCAAGCCTCTTCTAAAATGGTCTCTCCAATCATCTAATTTGCTTCTTTCTGGAAAAGACAGCAGTCATTAAACACAGACTGGAGCCAGTGGGTTTAATGGCTCCAAGGTTTCATAGATTTCTGTGGTTTCAAATCTTGGCTCAAATACCTATTAATGGTGTGACCTTGAGCACAAATCATGCCTGAGATTCCTCATCTGTGAGATGGAGATGTCAACAGTATCAACCTCTTTGGATTTCTCTGAGGATTAAATAAATAAATAGACATAAATAGGGTCTGGCCCAAAGTAAGTCTTCAATAAATACTAGTTGATTCTGGATCCCGTGCCTTTCCTTATATCATTTTTCTTCCTCTTTGTCTTATCTCTTTTCTACTTCCTTTTCTCTCTAACAGCAGCCATAGTTATAAGTTTTCAACTCCTGTTTTTCATCTTCTTATTGTTTGATCTAGCTTTAATTTTAAAAGTTATCTGTATGGTATTTCATACACTGTAAGAATAATTTATATATATGTATATTGTAATAAAAAAAAATAAAACCTAGGGCAATCTATATAGCAGAAAATAAAAGTTTTCCTTACCCTCAGTCTCCTTCCCCAGAGGTAAACATTAACAGTTTATAGTCTGTTATCTTATTATTAGTTCAAAAATTATAATCTAAACTTTAACAGAATTTTCCTAGGCACACATGTCTGTGTGAATGTGTATTATTCTACAAAAGTGAGGCTATAAATATACTGTTTTGCACTTTTTTCTCTTTACTAAACCGTTTATCACTAACATCTTTTAGGTTCGCACATCCTGATCTGCCACAGTACTTTTTTTAACCTCACCACCACAAACACTGAGTTTCTTAAATTTCGTCTTTGAAGGAAGAGGAAAGAGGAGTGTGAAGAAGAAAACTCAGACCTGATCTGATTCTAAAGGTTTCTATCTCTGGCCACAAATACGTCTTCACTGGCCTCACTCAAACACGTTTCCACTTCCTCTCTAACCAAATGCCCAGTGACCACCAGGAATATCCAGGTGGACTCAGCCCATAAGTGTATAAAATTTCCATGGATTTATTCCTGATACATAAAACCAGTGTAATAGAAAAGTGACTGCTTTCCCAAAGGGATTCTTTTTGTCAATACAACTTTTCATGAGAAAAATCTTTAAAAAAAAAAAAAAAGAAAAATCTTAAAAAGTACTGTGCATCAAGAAATCAAAACAATATGAACTTTACATTGGATTCCAAATTCTATAATGTTGAGGTAAAGAGATTCCCCTTGGACTCAGAGTAGTCCAGAATAGACTGAATGAGAGCTGAAGGTCAGAGCTGTGATTGTAATTGTGATGGAACTTTCTAGAATCTTACATCTTTCCACAGATGATAGATTTGCAAAAGTAGCCATTATTGCAAATAACAGCAAGAGTAGGGGGTTAAATATGCCTCTGGTATGGTATATTTAGGTCAGATTATAACTGTGAAAGGATGTGCCTGCTCTCCAAACAGGAAATAACAGAGAATGAGACATTTAAGGGTAATTTTCTATTCCAACTGTCTAGAGAGCAAATTTATAGGTGCAAAGAAAAAAAAGCATGATTCTTTAAGACATTGAAATTTTATTACATTTAGCACCATGTAAATTTCAAGAACAAATGTATAGTGACTAAATGGCCCTTTGAATCTTTGTCATGTATCTTTTTTCTAACCTGGCAGAAATGTAAAAAATCAACCTACCTCTGGCCCCTCTGACTAGAAAAACAAAAAAACATCACTGAGGAGGAGAACTATTCAGAAGACAGGTTGTATTTTAAGCTCTTAAACATTTCTTCAGGGATATTTGTTCCTGTTAAATGTCTGACCAAAGACACATAACCTGCCTGGGGCCTGGCTCCCCAACTCTCCCAGCCTGAATTTTCCAACTTACCGGCTGCATTGTGCTGGTGATACCAGATCAACTCAGGGATTGATTGAAACAGGTGCCTTTCAGCCACGTACCACCGTCCTGAGTCATTCCTTTTAATTTGATAATGCTTGACAGTAGCCTCCATATTTCTACAACCAATAAAATGTGAGTTCGTAAACAAGCAAAAGATCACTCTGGAACCAAGCCAATCATTAAGCAACGGGACTCGACTTCAAAACCCTGAGTCCTCACTACGGACTGAGAAGTAGATAGGGTTACAATAAACAGGCGCCTCACCAACGCTGGGAGAACTCCGCGGCTACGCATTAGGGCCTTAGATTTAGATATAACTTCAGCCAAAGATGTCTAGGTGACAAGTCTAGTGCTCAAAAATGTACAGCTTGTAATGGACACTTACAAGTATCTACTGAATCAGGTATCAGTCCAATGAATAAACAAATGCACTGTGAGAGATGTGAGACAAAGAAAGGAGGAAAACCAGCATAGGGTGTCTTGATAAGCAGGTTTGTTAATCCCTTTAGGAAGCCATGAGAGACTGTGGAACACACCTCGGAGTTGTCCCACTAAAGTGCAAAGGAGCTGAGGAATTTATCTCTTATTTCACATGGATGGAGGGTCACTCCTACAATGCTCTTAGTCACTTCCAGTTCACCCCCGGGGGACCACGAGAACCCACAGGCAAAGAACGAAGGAAAAACAGGAAGCCTTCTGCATACCAGAGAGCTCTGTGCAGGTAAACCCTGGGGTTAACCAAGGGGTATGAGGAAAACATCAGCAGTGTGCTACAGCTAATCGAACCTCCTCACTTGATACTTGAGAAAAGGAGACGAGAGAGTGTAAGTAACTTATATTTAATATCACACACAGAGCTTCTTAGGGGATAAAATTAGTTGGGAACCAATTAGTTGTCCCAATATCCAGGCCAGCAATTTTCTATGTTAGGCTCTCACTTCCATTCTCTTTGTGATGGTGTCTCCTTAACAATGAATATCCTAGTGATTATTATTTCTAAAGTGATCAAAATCACAATTGCTTACCTCTTATCTCTTATAAACACAGAAATGGTGTAGGATCCCAAATGTCTTGAATCTCTGACAATAAATGCACCTTCTTTAGACTGCAAAACAATTCATTCATTGTACATGTTTATTTCTTATTTGGAAGAAAGACAAATATCTCCATAATAAAAACTCAAGCTATACTGACTTACTATAGAAGGATGATATTGTTTTTATAAGTACACACAATCTTATCTCTTAAATCCTTACAGATTTAGATATCATACCTATAAAATAAAATTGGGATAAGAATCTGCAAAGTGTGAGCATTTTAAAAATTCACTCATGATTTTTCTAATACTGCATTTGACAACCTTGTACCCCACCATTTAGTTATTTTTGTATATTGATTAAGTAATAGATAAAAGAGCTGATGAATAAGAAGAACTCTGAGACAGATGGATAGGATTTTTCTTTACAGGAAAAGAAACAATATGGCAAGTGGGGGTGAGGGAGGCAGGGAGAAATACATCTGGGAAGCTGAGGAATGGGGAAAAAAAGACCAGTTTATGACACAAATGGAAAGAGAATAGACTTGGAGAAGTCTTGAGAGAAGAGCAAGGAGAACCATTTTCTTTGCTCTAAGGATACAGGCTTCTTGGGTGGTACTAGAGGTAAAGAGCCCGCCTGACGATGCAAGAGACACAAGAGATGCATATTCGATCCCTGGGTTGGGAAGATCCTCTGGAGAAGGGCATGGCAACCCACTCCAATATTCTTGCCTGGAAAACCCTATGGACAAAGGAGCCTGGTGGGCTACAGTCCATGGGGTTGCAGAGTTGTGCACGAGTGAAGTGACTTAGCATGCATACAGGGATGTAGGAGAGACAGAGGGAGACATGGCAAGAGGGAAGAATATTATAGTAAGTTTGATGTTTACATTATCAGTTGGATCCCCAATGACATTCTTTAGGCTTTGGGTGGCTCAGATGGTAAAGAATCTGCCTGCAATGCGAGAGACCTAAGTTTGATCCCTGGGTCAGGAAGATTCCCTGGAGAAGGGAATGGCAACCCATTCCAGTATTCTTGCCTGGGAAATCCCATGGACAGAGGAGTCTGGCGGGCTATGGTCCATGGGGTTGCAAAGAGTCAGGCAGGACTTAGCAACTAACACTTTTGACATTCTTTGAAACTACTTTTAAATAAACTTGAAGGTTGGACTGCTTGGTTTGGTTTGTTTGATATAATTTTCTTAAAAAATCTTTACCTCTATTAAGTTTGCTTACATTCATGAAGAGGAAAATATCTCAGATCTTGTCAAACTCATGAACATTTACACTTATGAAGTACTGGTGAGAATTGCACAACCCTAACAGCATGATGTGACCCCTCAAGAGGAACATAATACATTGTCTCCTCCTTCCAGATGCTTACCAAGAAACAAGCCTTTTCTCTGGTCAGAATTTTTAACCAATGGTACAGTAGAGAGCCCAGAAATAAACCCATGCTTATATGGTCAAATAATCTGTGACCAAAAAAGGGCAAGAATACACAATGGGGGAAAGACAGCCTTTTCAATAAACTGCAATGGGAAAACTGGAAGTGCAAAGGAATCAAACTGGGCTAATTTCTGCCACAACGTATCAAAATAAACTCAAAGTGGATTAAAGACTTAAATGTAAGACCTGAAACCATCAAAGTCCTAGAAAAGAACATGGGAAGTATGCTCTCTAACATTGGTCTTAGCAACATTTTTTTTTTTTTTGGATTTGTCTTCTCAGGCAAAGGAAACAAGCAAAAATGAACAAGACTACATTAAACTAAAAAGCTTCTATATAGTGAAAGAAATGACCAACAAAATGAAAAGGCAGCTTACTGAAGGGGAATAGATATTTACAAAAGATATATCTGATCAGGGGTTAGTACCTAAGATATACAAAGAAGTCATACAACTCAACATCCAAAAACAAACAATTCTGTTTAAAAATGGGCAGAGGACCCGACAGACATTTTTCCAAAGAAGACCTATAGATGGCAAACAGACCCATGAAAAGATGTTCAACACCACTAATTATCAGGGAAATGCAAATCAAAACCACCTTGAGATATCACCTCACACCTGTTAGAAAGGCTGTCATCAAAGAGACAAGTGTTGCCAAGGGTGTGGAGAAAAGAGAAACTTTGTGTACTCTTCGTTGGATTACAAATCAGGTGCAGCCACTATGGAAAATAGCATGAAGATTCCTCAGATAGAACTACCACATGGTCCAGTAATTCGACTTCTGGGTATTCACCCAAAGAAACCAAAAACATTAATTTGAAAAGATACATGTTCATAGCAGCATTATTTACAATAGTCAAGATATGGAAGCAACCTAAGTGTCCATTGATAGATGAATGGATAAAGAAGATGTGGTATACATATACAATGGAATATTACGGAGCCATAAAAAATAATGAAATCTTGCCATTTGTGACAATATGGACAGACCTAGGGAGAATCCCAGGCATGGCGGAGCCTGGTGGGCTGCTGTCTATGGGGTCGCACAGAGTCGGACACGACTGAAGTGACTTAGTGGCGGCAGCAGCAGAGGGTGTTATGCTAAGTGAAATAAACCAGACCAAGAAGGACAAATACCATATGATCTCACCTATATGTATAATCTAAAAAACAAAGCAAACAAAACAAAAACAGACTCATAGATGCAGAGAACAAATGGGTGGTTGCCTGATGGGAGGGTGTGGTAGGGAGCATGAACTAGGTGAAGGGGACTGAATTACAAACCTCCTGTTAGAAAATAAATAAGCCACAGGGATGTAATATACAACATAAGAAATATGGTCAATAATATTGTACCAATTTTGTATGGGGACTGCTGCTGCTGCTGCTGCTAAGTTGCTTCAGTCGTGTCTGACTGTGTGAACCCATAGATGGCAGCCCACCAGGCTCCACCATCCCTGGGATTCTCCAGGCAAGAACACTGGAGTGGGTTGCCGTTTCCTTCTCCAGTGCATGAAAGTGAAAAGTGATTGTGAAATCATTCAGTTGTGTCCAACTCTTCATGACCCCATGGACTGCAGCCTACCAGGCTCCTCCGTCCATGGGATTTTCCAGGCAAGAGTACTGGAGTGGGTTGCTATTGCCTTCTCCGGTATGGGGACAGATGGTGACTAGATTTACAGTGATCATTTCATAATGTATGCAAGTATCAAATCACTTTGTAGTACACCTGAAACTAATACAATATTGTAAGTCAACCACGTTTCAGTGAAAAAGGAAATTCAAGTACAAATGAAAAGATCTAGAATATGGACACACTACTCATTAGGACCTCTGCTATATAGTTCAGGCAATACTCAGAAATAAATTCACAGTCTTATTATATCAATAAATGAGAAGAATACAGAATAAACATATCCAACTCAAGAAGTTAGGTTAAGAATTATAAAATAAACTCAGGTAAAGTAGAAGAAAAGAATTAATAAAAGCAAAAGCAGAAAATAATAAATTATAAAAACAAAAATATAATACAGACAGTAATTACATCTGTATTCAATAGTAACAGTATTCAAAGTATAGTATTACTATACTATAGTAAAGTAATAGTAATTCAGTCTGGTTGTCTAGGGAAAAACAATAAAATAGGTAACCTACTAGTTAACCTAATCAATAAACAGTGGAGGAAATCTATTAAAAATGTCACAAGGATTCAGAAAAAATTAAAGAATCTTCTTAGCTCTATATAATATATTTGAAAAGTTGAATAAAATGGAAAAATAGCTAGCAAAACATAAAATTTGTCAAAATTGATTCCAGGAAAGCTAGAAATCCTAATGGACCTAATAAATTGAAAAATGGATAAGGTTTTAAAAGAGCTTCAACATTAGAAAGCACTACTGTTATACTGTGATGTTACTAAATCTTAAAAAAAAATGGTAGATAGATCAATTAAATAATTCCAGAGCATATGAAAAGAACAAATCTTCCAAATCATACAAAGTAGACTCAATACCCACACCATAACACAGTAGAGACTGCACAACAGGGGGAGCTACCAACCAGCCTGCATGCACATCCGTGCGAAGCCCTGACTAGATACTGACAGACCGGGTCCAGTAGCACAACAACAGAATAATACTAGGAATTTCATTACTATGATTCAAAATTTAATAGATCTGAGAAGAAAAAACCTCACAAAAATCTCCATAGATGTTGAAGAAGCACTTAATTTCAATTTCTATTATCAAGTTTTTAAAAATTCTTTATAAAATGGGAATATATATATATATATTATTTAACACAATAGCCCTTATTTACTTTGGTCCCAAGTCCAGCATCATGCTTTATGTGGAAATCATTCTAACTAAAATTAGGAAAAAAGAAATGCCCACTGTCAGCACTGGTATTTAAAACTGTTTTGAGAAACTAGCCAGTGTCATTAAGTGAGGCAGAAATTAGAACCCTGAAATAAAATTGTAAAAGAGGGTTGAAATAATCTGTTTGCTACTGCTAAGATTACATACCTAAACCTAAGAGCATCAACTGAAAAACTACTACAAAACAATATTTGAGCCACACTCGCCTTCTATGATGGCCCATACTCTGTCTGTGGAGTGTGTTTCTCTCTAAATAAAATCCACTTCTTACCTATCAAAAAAAAAAGCTTTGAATTCATTAAAGTCATCAGTTACAAAATTAATTCATAGAAATCAAGACATTTCAAAAGTAAAAATAAAAAGATATGCCCATTTATCATAGAAACAAAAAGATAAATTATTTTAATATAAATTAAAAAATACATGTGCAAGAGTTAAATGAAGAAAACCTTAAAATTCTCCTGAAAAATACAAAAGCATTTGCTTTTTCTAATCAGGTCTTTCATCCATCTAATATCAACTTTTGCTTGAGGTTTGGGTCTAATTTTGATTTTTTTCTATGTGAATAATTAATATATAGGTCCTGGAACAAACTGGTCCCCAAACCACACTGATTTGTAATGCATAAATAATTTTCCCTAAATTAATCTGTAAATTTAATGCAAACAACAGGAAGGTTTCTTAAACAAGGCGAATTAATTCTGAAGTTCATACAGAGAAAACATATTTTCAGAAAGTTTCTTAAACAGACAGACCAGTCAGAGGAGGCGTCATGTCTAAAACAGGAAAACGCACTTTGTTGCACAGCAGGAACTAGCACAGCATTGTAAAGCATTGTAAAGCGGCTCTGAATCAAGTTTAAAAACAAGTGAGTTAAAAAACTGACGACAGTATCAATATCTCCAATGGTAAGATAACTGGGTGCCACCTAGTCCTTGATTTCCCCAGCTACTAACCTCACATTTCCAAAGCTGCTACTGTTAATAAAGCCCAGGTTTTAAAACTGCATTTTGGAAATGACATTTTTGTTGATATGTTTATAGTGGCAGAATAAGATCATGAAAAGAATGCATATGATATCAAAATTAGTATGAAAATAGCCACATGCCCCTTAAATATGAAAAAGAGACCAATCATTTTTCACTGCAAATGCAGACTTCTGCTTCCCTTAAATATCACCAAAATCTCAGGGGAACATCTATGTAACTGGAATGTACAACAACTCACTATAAAGTCAACAGGCTAGTCAAAACTAGGGCTTAATTATAATCCATGATGAGTGTACAGCAAATGGTATGTTCAAAACTTCCATTTATTTACTCAAAGTGGTCAGAGTGGAGAAGGCAATAACGTACTTTTTTCTCTTTCTTACAAGGGTAGATATGGTCTTTGTCAGGCTATTTTATGAAACTTTAACTAACCTTCAAGAAACAAATAATGTCTATCTGATATAAACAATTTCAGAGATTAGAAAAAGAGATTAAAAGACCCACATTCCAATTCATTTTATGATGCTAGGATAACATTTATACCAAAACCAGACAAAGAGAACAGAAAATTAGAAGCTGGGCTCACTTTGAACTTAACAGGAAAAATGCTACATTGAGGAAAGTCAAACTAGCAATATATATTTTAAATGACTCATAACCAAATAAAATTTAAACCAGGAATAATTTTAAAAATAAAAATTGGAAAATATGTAAATTACACAAATATTTTAAGACATATAGGAAAAATATGTATGTATTTAAAACATCATACATATATTCTTCAGACAGATTAAAGTCCTAAATGTGAAAGCACATCTTTAAAACATTTAAAGAAAAATATAAAATTCCTTTATTACCTCAGAATAGAGAGGAATCTCTTACAGTAAATAAAACAAAACAAAAAGCAGATATCATAAAGAAAAATATCGAGAGATTTGACATTAACATTAAAAAATTTTTGTATACGACAATAGTCTAAGGTTTACAAAGAGCCAGAAATCCAAAAAATATCATTGCAACACATAACGCCCAAAGATTGGTATTCAGAATATATTTCTTAAGTACAACACATATTGATCAGCATAAAAAAACCAAACACATTATAGAAAAATGAGCGAAGGCTATTAACAGGCACGTAACAGCAGAGGCAGCACCACTGGTCAAAGACACTGGAAAGTTACTTCAATTGAACCGTTTACCAAGGGAATGTCCATTTTAAAATGCAGAGTTTTTTCATTCAATAAACTAGGGAAAAAATGTGAATCTACCCACTGTTAGTAAGAATGTGAGTGAGTGTTGATCACTCAGTTGTGTCTGACTCTTTGCAACCCCATGGTTATAGCCTGCCAGGCTCCTCTGCCCATGGGGTTTCCCAGGCAAGGATACTGGAACAAGTTGCCATGTCTTCCTCCAGGGGATCTTCCCCACCCGGGGATTGAACCCAGGTCTCCTGCATTACAGGCAGATCCCTTACCATCTGAGCCATGAGGAAAGTCCATGTAGGAAACCAGTTTTTTCACTCCCTGTGAGAGTATAAATTGGTCTAAGTACCTGAATCCTGATTTGAATACACAGTATCTAGTAATGTTAAATCTGCACATCTCCTCTGATCAGATGATTCCATTTTGGAGTGTAATTGAAAGAACCCCTTGCCCTTGTATACAAGATGACATGAACAAGGATGTTCTTTGCAGCACTGTTTGTAAGAGCAAAAAATTAGAAATGACTAGAATGTTTATCTACAGTAAAATTGATACATTTTGATATAATGAAATAGTACACAATAGTTGAAGGTATGTGTTTGATCCATGTGTATGCCTAAGAATTAAATAGAAAATATACTGTTTGGTTAAAAAATCAACATACATGTGCTCTCCTTGACATCAAATATGAAAACACATAAACAAGCACTAAAGGTTGTTTATGCACATACATGTGATAAAAGTATAAACCCATGGACAAAGTGGGAACACGCCCCTCGATTGTGGTTGCCTCTGAGAAGTGAGGACCAAAAAGACAAGGGAGAGGGTGGGCCTCAACAGCTTCTGTAATGTCTTATTTTATTACAGAATGTTATGATCAGTGCTACTATTTGTGATATCTGGGTTGTGGGTATGGAGGTTTTGCCACAAAATGCCCCATTTACTCTTGGTAGGGAGGTCAGATCCTCACCCTATTCTGGCTTCCTCTCAGATGCAGAACCTCATGTAGAACCCTCTCAGCCCAGTGATTCGGTCCATATTGCCTGTGATAGGCTTGCTTTCCATGGACCGAATGGTCCACTTCCTTCCTCCAGTGTTGCCTGCCTCTCACCACATCTTCCTTGTCCGTTCTGAACCAACTAACACATGATGTCACCATGCCGGGCAGGTATCACATTTGCCGCCATGCTCCCTTTTCTTGTAGCCAACAAGGCCAGGCCAGACCTCCAACCTCCATCCCCACCAGCCCCTTAGAGGCCTCTGTTCCTCGTACTCAGCCTATCCCCCAGATACTAACTGGGTCTTCCCTGTGTCATAGGTCATTACTGGCACTGAGTTTTGAGTTACAGAACTGACTTTTTTCTCACTCATATTAGTAGATTTCCTCAACATCTGACATCAGGTCATAATGACACGCATACTTCTCAGCTACTTTCTAGTTTTGACTATTCATTTACCCACAGCCGATACCGTCAGTGGGTAATTTAAACTATACTCAGTTCTGTTTTGTTTTGACCTAAATGAGCAGTTTTGATCCAAGTGTGATATTCTGGCTGCTCCACGCTTCCTTCTGTTCCCAAGAATGAAGGTGTAGCTGCACGCACTTTTCTGTATCTGTGCTTTTTATGAGTCTAAGCTGAGCTCAGGAGGACAGAGTATCTCCTGGACTGACATTGATGCAAATGTGTACAGGCAGTTCAAATAGAGACCCTTCTGGCAGAATGCACTTTGCAGTGAATGAAGCAGTTTTGGTATGTTAGAGATGAAATCATTTCAGGAGAAAGATATGTGAAATTGTGGTGAAAATCAATGGAAAACATGATTTGATACAAATTAATCTAGTTTATAATTTAATAGAAAATGTAGTAGCAGTGAAGTTGTAATAATATTTTACAACTAAAAAAATATCAGGAAGTGATAAAACACTTTAGCTGAGTATTTATAATTTACCCCTCTCAGAAATTTTGAAATTCCACAAAATTATTTATGAATAAATTACCTCTTGTCTCAAAAGATGTTCTGCCTGATTTCTAGTAATATTCCTATGGTACCACCTGTAAAAGCAATAAAAATAATTTTTAAATGTTATATATCATTTATTTCCAGAAAAAAAACCTGTTCCATTTCCTTCATTTTAAAAAACACAGTCCAGAACTAATTTTATAAACGGACTGATTAATTCACATAAACAATAATGTACTATAATATCAATTGATTCAACAGTTATATTAATTACAAGCCAGTATCTCATTTTTCTACCATATTTCAATTCAACTTTCTGAAACACACTTGGTTTAACACACTTAATTTTGAATGGTTTAACTTCCTGAAAATTTCCACGAAATGTATGTGGTTAAAAAGTCATCATCTTTGATAAACACTTTCCTGAGCTTTGGTTAAACCCCAACTAAAACATACCCATTTCTTTCCCCTCAGGAATATCTTATTTTCATGCTTTTACATGTGCTGTTACCTTTCCAAACTTAAAACTCAGACTGATTTATCTGATTCTTCTAAATATGTTGTTGCCGTTTAGTTGTTAAGTCATGTCCGACTCTTTTGCGACCCCATGGACTGTAGCTCGCCAGACTACTCTGTCCTTGGGATTTCCCAGGCAAGAATACTGGAGTGGGTTGCCATTTCCTTCTCCCAGGGATCTTCCCCAGTCAGAGGCCGACTCACATCTCCTGCATTGGCAGGCAAATTCTTTACCACCGAGCCACCAGGGAAGCTCCAAAGTATGTCACTTTGTAGTAAAATCAGTAATTTAACAGAGTAAATGGAACAACCCTAACCCTAACCCTAACCATCGCACACCCTCCTGGGCCTCATATTCTCCTCATTCTTCCCTCAACTCACTAAACTTCCACCACATTGGGATTCTTTCCTGGCTGAAATTCACCAAGCCCTTTTTTGCCTCCAGCCTTCCTGTTATCTCTGCATGAAACACGTCATTAAATGACCTTAAAATATCAGAGGTTCACACAGTAATCATAATTAATGAACACTGTAATTTAAACATATGGTTTTGGGACTTCCCTGGAAGTTCAGTGGTTAAAACTTCATCTTGCAATACAAGGGGTAGGTGGCTTGTTTCTTGATCCAGGAGCTAAGATCTCATATATCTCAGGGCCAAAAGACCAAAAACAAAGCAGAAACAATACTGTAACAAATTCAGTAAAGATTTTTTTAAATGAAAAAAAAAGTGGTCCATATAAAAAATATTTAATGAAAATTAAAAAAAAATTTTAAAATAAACAAACATGGTTTGATGTGACAGCACCTAAGCAGTAAGCAAATGTTGTACAGGAAAGAGAGAGGAAACAACGGTAGAACAATGGAGAGGAAAAGAAAAATGGAAATACTTTCATTTCAAAATAAGAGTTTAAAAAGAAGTTAATGCAATATTACCAGAAATACTATTTTTGTGGACAGCGGAAGAAAGGGTGTGTGTATAACCAGGCATTAAGTCAAGTGGGGGAGCCCATTGGTGGCTGAATGAGACTCATATCTTCCTGGGGCAATGGAACCTATCTCCTCATGTGGACTTCCCCTAACCTTCTATAATAGAAAGCTGCCACTAACTAGCATGGCCAGGTTTTTAAAATATTAATATTAATGTGCTCAAATTGAAAATGGTCTTTTAAAAAGATGAACCACAGACGACAGGGGATGATTACAGATGATTCTAGTCAAAGTCATATAACTACTTATTGCTAATAGGAACAAGAGTAACTGTGAATTTAAACTGTGCCTATCATTCAATACTTGTTAATGAATATTCACATTGTGAGAGGGAATTTCAAGATGAGTCTGAGACCTCTTGCTGTACAAAGAAGGAATTCTTTCAAAATAAATGAGGCAGAGTTAAATTCACAGGGGACCAGTTTAAAGAGGCCCCCATACTGGCTAAGTTATGAAATATTGGTGCTAAAAAGAGACTAATGATTATAGCTCACTGAAATAGACTGAAGTTGTGAAAAGAGAAGACTGCATAATAACATTCAAAAAGGGAGGAATTAACATAAACCCATCTTTTTCTAAATAATGTTTCTTTACCTGCTATCATGTTGTTATTAATTCTGTTGCTTTGTACTTATTATAATGATAAATAAACTATATTAATTGTGATTAAATATAAATTAAAATCCATCCATGTGGAAGTCATTCTCAGAATGACTTCAAAGTAGTAACAAAAGAACCAGATAGAAGTATATGATGAATTTAAGATCAATTAAAATAAGGCAGAATTCCATCTGTATTATGATAATGATAAGTAAAAGGCAGAAAAGGGATAAATGTAATTTAGAGAAGGTTGAGGCATGGTATTTCAGAATTTCAACTATTTAAATCAGATGATAAAAAGTAGAAGAGTTTTTTGTTTTGTTTTGTGTTTTTCAAATAGGTAAGGCTGCAACTTCTTTATTGAGACAACACTGATTACAAAACTAATATTGAATGTCAGTAGAAGCCCCAATACACAGGACTGAGGTGGGGATTTTATTAATACATTTAAAAAAAATCTACTACATCTAACTGTGGTTGAGTACAACCATCACATATGGAACATATATGTAAGCCTCCCATGTGCCAGTCTTAGATTTCTAATAAGTAAAGAACAGTATTGTGGCTTTGGGTTTTAGACCTGGAAACCCTATTAGATCTGAGAAGGTTAATTTGCCTCACTTGGTGACTTTCTGACCCTGAGACTATTAAGCATTTAGTGTAGAGCAAATGAGATAAATCAGACTATATATCCATAGCTCAGGATAATCAATGTCTGCTATTTGAAATATTAGATATATCAAAAATTTTAAGAGAATCTGGCATGTCAGGTTTTTGTCTTTGCTTTAAGATTTATAACTAATCTTCAAGTTGTTTACCAGCTGAGCCACAAGGGAAGTCCCTGATAGCTCAGTTGGTAAAGAATATGCCTGCAATACAGAAGACCCCAGTTCAATTCCTGGGTGGGGAAGATCTAATGGAAAAGGGATAGGCTACCCACTCCAGTATTCTTGGGCTTCCCTGAGAACTGGGTTTGATACCTGGGTTGGGAAGATCCTCCAGAGTAAGGGAAAGGCTACCCACTCCAGTATTCTGGCCTAGAGAATTCCATGGATTGTAAAGAGTTGGACACAACTGAGCGACTTCCACGTCACACTTCAACTTGATATTTGAAGTTTGAGAATAAGTAATTTTTAAAATGGTTAAAAGAACTCAATTCACATTATGTTTAATTAAATATTTATGTTTAAATTATTCCATTTCCAGGATCATGTAAGGACTTACAAGGGGCTAATACAATTGCAAATTTGCCCTGTCGGGTATGTTCTTTATAAAGAAAACTGAATTTATTCTGTTTATTAATGCAAGTTAAATGTTTCAGGAAACTTAATTAACTGAGTTTGTAAATGATAGATTGTTTAAGGACATTTTTATGTCGAGTATGAATTTAGGTGATTGTTCTTGTTTACTAGATTTATAAATAGTAGATCAAGATTTAAAAGTTCAATTTGAAGGCTTACTAAAAACAAAGTTTTTTCATTGTAATGTTGATAATTTGGATATTAATTTCAAACCAAAGTAGCCATAAACATTTCTCTGTATAAAGGTTCCCCAGATGTCAGAAGCCCATGTGGACAGCATTCCTTCTTCCATCAGCCCCCTATCTCCCTTCTTTCTCCTTTAGGCTTCAAGTAATGTCCTCAGAAAGGTCTTCCCCACTCAACATGCTCATTTAAATTATATTCCCTCCCCTCTTGTTTCCTTCCTGTGCCCCATACTATTCCTTCAAAACACCACATTTTAAAATGATGTGTCTATTTGTGAATTCAGGGTTGCTTAATGTCTATTTCCTTGTGAAGCTGTAAGTTCCATGAAAACCAGGACTCCTTCTGTGTATTCTGTATTATGTTTCCACTGCTTACAACAGTTAACATCTAATATTATCCTAAGTACATAATGATAAAGATCAAACAAATGAAGTGGAGGACTGAAGTAACTCTGAAAGTAGTGTACCAGTTACACTAGGCAAGGTGGACAAAACTGTAAATGTCTTTCTTGTTTCACAGTTCAAGGAAATAATCATAACTTCTAGAATGTATTGAAGAGCTACTATGTATTGAATGAGACAGGCATTATTATCCCCAGGGTTCAGATAATTCAGAGGTTTAAAAACATTAGGTCACTTTGCTCAGACCTGAACCGTTAGTCAGGGGTGATGCCAGGATTCGAACCCAGATTTCTCTGATTTCTAAGCCCATACCACTGCACTTCAATATGGGACAGTAATTTCTGTACAGTCAGTAGGTTGGTGCTTGGCATATAGTAAGTGGTTGATTAATTTTAGTGATTTATATTGATGATCTATATTTTAATAACCTTCTTGAAACCATAATAAAGTTAAAAATTGGTCTTTTCATAATTAGAGTCATTATAAAAGGAGACTTACAGAAACATAAATCCAGGCTAAGGAAATGAGATGATTATCTAACTTCAGAGCAGTTTAATTTGTGATCCAGTATCTGCAGTATAAACAAGTTGTTAAAGCCAGATGCTAAGCCTGGTTTAAACAGGGGAAGCAACAAGCACATCGATTCATAACAGAAGGAAGAAAAGTAGCCCTGCTGATTATGGAGCGTCCACTGCTAACCACCAGGCACTGTGTTAGGTGCCTTCACACAGGTCTCCTTTAATCTCCAGGAAAATCCAAACTGAAGTTAGAATATGGTGATAAAACCATCTTATTTTTCTGGTTTTTCTTAGCAGGAGATTTTCAAACAAAATTTTCCCTGACTTGGCCTTCAAAGAGACCTGTTTGTGCCGAGCAGCTTCAGCTGGGGCTAGGGGTGAGTTCCCCTCGCCCACTCCACACCCCCAACTCCATGCATGGGGCATGCTTGAGCAACTGTGGAGGGTTGTGGGGCTGTTTGCTAAGGAAGGTGGGGTCAGCCACCTGGGGACTTTGAGTGGAGACGGGAATTTCAGGGCAGAGCTAAATGACGCAGGTCAAGAGATGGGGTTATGACAAGCTAAGCACAGGAGAGGAAGAGAGAAGAGGCACTGTGATGGAGCTGAGGACAGAGACTTGATGAAGGAGAACAGAAACAGCCTGCAGAAAGTTCTGGTAAGGTTATGGGTGTTTTTGGTGACGCATGTGCTGAGTCTGCAGTTTCCCAGGTGGCACTAGTGGTAAAGAACCTGCCTGCCAATGCAGGAGATGTAATAGATGCAGGTTCTATCCCTGGGTTGGGAAGATTCCCTGGAGGAGGGCATGGCAACCCACTAAGGTATTCTTGCCTGGAGAATCCCATGAACAGAGGAGCTTGGCGGGCTAAAGTTCATAGGGTCGCACAGAGTCAGACATGATTGAAGCAACGTGGCAGGCAGGCAGGCATGCTGAGTCTGGCCTACAGATGGGCTTCAATGAGCAGCAAGGCAGTCCAAGGCTGAGTTCTCTTTCAATTTGCCTGGTTCTCAGGGAAGTACCTGTTCTAATGCCTGAACTCACATCACCTATTACAAGCTACTGAAACATATACTCATTGTAAAACCAGTATCTAAGTGGGGGAAGGGCACTCAAGTGCTCAAACTGCAAACCTAAATTTATACAAGACTAGGAAATCAACTCTGAATACTCTTTGGAAGGACTGATGCTGAAGTTCCAATACTTTGGCTACCTGATGCGAACAGCTGATTCATTGGAAAAGACTGTGATGCTGGGAAAGATTGAAGGCAGGAGGAGAAGGGGGTAACAGAGGATGAGATGGTTGGATGGCATCACCCGTTCAATGGACATGAACTTGGGCAAAGTCCGGGAGATGGTGAGGGACAGGAAAGCCTGCCAAGCTGCAATCCCAGGGCTCCCGAAGAGTCGGACATGACTTGGTAACTGTACAACAAGGACCACTCCTAGCCCTGTCACTCTCTATCTATACATTAATATCTCTACCTTAGTTTCTGATCTGCAGATTGAGGAGTTAAACAGTGATTGCTAATGTTTCTATTTTCTAAATATGTTAACATAGTGTAACAAGAATGCATTTCTAAGCAAAACTCTAGTGAACATTTCAAAAGTTCTTCTGAACTATAGCATTAGCCTATTTCTCATCTTCAGTGATTTCTAAACACTTCAAAACATGAGTCAAACTATAGTAATATGTCTGTATATTAAGTCTAACTTCATTAATGAACAATTCATGTCATTTTTTATTTTTATTTTTTATTTTTGGTCAAGTTGCACAGCCTAGAAGATCTTAGTTCCCCAACCAAGGATGGAACCCATGCCTCCTGCAGTGGAAGTGTAGAGTTTTAACCACTGGACCACCAGGGAAGTCCCTATTTTTTATTTTTATTTTTTTTTTAAATCTCCATTTTTTAAATAATAACTTTTCCATTTAGGACATGCAGTAAAACAGGTGCAAGATGAGTGTTTGGTTTCTTGTAGTCACTGTTAAAATTTTCTTTAACTGTCCATACAAAACAACCAAAAAAGTAATTTTAAGAAAAAGAAGTTTCTGAATCAGCCATTATTAAGATCAAAAATCTCTTAAGCCAAAGCTGTCAAATTTGTTACTTTCTTTTCCCTTTTCAGACTCAAAACAGTATGTATACTGATAAGTTACCCAAATGTACCTGATTTTTATAGATTAACCATGGGACATATTTTGGAGGACACTTACTCATATATTTCTAAATTAGTTGGTTTGTTTTCGGTCACATAGTTGCTTGGAATTAAGCCTTCATTCCTACAAAGACAAAGCAAAAATAAAAATTTTGGCACATCTGTGGTATTATTGTGGCAAAGACCCCTTTAAAAAACCTCAAGGATGCAGAGGAAAATCAAATTAATTTGACTAAATTGTTGAAAGAAGAAAAAAATTTTTTCATTTCAACATTCAACTAAAATCTTTGCACAACAAATACTGTTTCTGATGTTTAACGTTAGTAGTTTAAGATGTTTTCTGACACAGATATCTTTGCAAATAGGAAAAGAGCCACTGAACATGATCACTGGGACATAATAGCAACTAGATTAGAAACATATCAATTGCAAAGATATTGACTGAATTCTTTTTAATTGCTGCAGAGCATCCCACAGAATAGATATTCTAGTTTAGCCATGCCTCTATTACAACAAAACTGTAAAGAAATACTTGAATATGCCTTCTTGTCTACAAGTAAGAGTATTTCTCTAAGACAGATACAAAGCAGGGAAAATGCTGTGCTGCTGATTAAGTGCATCTTTTCAGTAGATACAGCTATTGAAGGGCAGCAATTTTCACACTTATCAGCAGGGGAGGAGTTTCTCTTTTCCTATAACTTCATCAACAAAATCTGAAATTTAAAATTATGAAAGATCTCTAAGACATATTATTGAAGAATACAAGCAAGTTGCAGAGCAACACATATAGTATAGTCAGGTTTAAGTAAATTAAATGCTCAGACAATACCATATTTTTAATACACCCCAGAAAGTGCATTGAAAGTGATCTGGACGGGAAGATCATTGAAATGAATCACTAAATGAATAATGGTGCTTACTTTTGGGAGAGTCTGGGTTTGGAGGTGTGGCAACACAGAATTTGGGCACCATTTATCATGTTTGAATATTATTTTTTTTTAAACCTATATTCACTTATTAACTTTGAAGTTAAAAATTGGTGCTGTTTCTCTTTAAGTCTGAGTCCTGACAACACACCACCTGCAAGGGCAGTTAATGATACAGCCCTGAGCCTACTAACTTACATGATCGCTGGGGCATCATTCCTCTTTACCACTGAAAAGTCTGCAGCCTATGTTGAGTCTTAATGAAGAACTGGTAAATGAGCCAAATCAATAGGAAAACATAAAGAAAGAGGTTTGTATGTACTTCGAATGCTTAGGTATTTATAACCTCAAAATCTTGACAAGGATCAGAAATCAAGGCCAGAATTCTCTCCCAGAAAGTAGACATACCCCTCAGAGTTCTTTTCTACCCAGGACTTCAGCCTAGAATTAACAATCTATTGCAACTGGCACAAAGAAGTCTTTCTGTATCCCAGGGCCTTCCCCTAATTTCATTCAGAAATACTGCAATGTTTACTTCCATTGTAGAAATATGAAAATGAGTAATGCACTTTTTCTGTTTCTATCTTAGAGCTTAACAGGAAAAAAAATTAAATTGCCAAAAAACCAAAGCATAAATTAGAATAAGAACTTGTATGGTAGAAACTAGTATTCTTATTTACAAATAAAATTCATTAAAAACAGAACTATCATATGATCCAGCAATTCCACCTCTGAGCATTTATCTGAAGAAAATGAAAACACTAACTTAAAAAGGTACATGCACCCCCATGTTCACTGTAACACTATAATAGCCAAGATATGGAAACAACCAAGTGTCCACTGATGGATGAATTGATAAAGAAAATGTGCTACATATGAAATATGATTCACCCACAAAAAGAAGAAAACTTTTGTCATTTGCAACAACACAGATGGATCTTGACAGCACTATACTAAGTGAAATAAAGACAAAAACCATGTTATCTCACTTACATGTGAAATCTTTTAAAAAAATGAAAAATTGGAACAAAACAAGCTCAAGGTACAAAGAATAGACTGGTGGCTGCCAGAAGCAAGGGTGGTCGTAGAGCGATAAAATGGGTGAAGGGGATCAAAACTTCCAGTTTTGTAACTTCCAGTTACAAAATAAATGAGGCTTGGGGATATGATGTATAGAAACGTGACGAGTTAATAGTACTGTATTGCATGTTTTAATTCCACAGTGATAACAGAACCGACTTCTGTAAGGTTTCGATACATTTAGACAATGAAATTTTTGGACCTGGTCTTATGTCCCTGAATATGTTCCAGTATCTCCTAGTTTATTGTCTATCAATTCAGTTCAGTAGCTCAGTCGTGTCTGACTCTTTGCAACCCCATGGACTGTAGCACGTCAGGCTTCCCTGTCCATCACCAACACCCAGAACTTGCTCAAACTCATGTCCGTCAAGTCAGTGATGCCATCCAACCATCTCATTCTCTGTTGTTCCCTTCTCCTCCTGCCTTCAATCTTTCCCAGCACCAGGGTCTTTTCCGATCAGTCAGTTCTTCGCATCAGGTGGCCAAAGTATTGGAGTTTCAGCTTCAGCATTAGCCCTTTCAATGAATATTCAGGACTGATTTCCTTTAGGATTGACTGGTTGGATCTACTTGCAGTCCAAGGGATTTTCAAGAGTCTTCTCCAACACCACAGTTCAAAAGCATCAATTCTTCAGCGCTCAGCTTTCTTTAGAGTCCAACTCTCACATCCATACCTGACTACTGAAAAAACCATAGCTTTGACTAGATGGATCTTTGTTGGCAAAGTAATGTCTCTGCTTTTTAATATGCTGTTTAGGTTGGTCATAGCTTTTCTTCCAAGGAGCAAGTGTCTTTTAATTTCATGGCAGAAGTCACCATCTGCAGTGATTTTGGAGCCCCCCAAAATAAAGTCTCTCACTATTTCCATTGTTTCCTCATCTAATGGCCATGAAGTGATTAGGACTGGATGCCATGATCTTAGTTTTCTGAATGTTGAGGTTTAAGCCAACTTTTTCACTCTCCTCTTTCACTTTCATCAAGAGGCTTTTTAGTTCTTTTTACTGTCTATAGGAACTTGAATAGAATTTGCATCCTACCATTGTGTGAAAGTTGTATAAATTTAAATTATGTTGAATTGATTCATAGTGCTTTTCAGGTCTACTATATCCTTCTGCTTCTCTGTATATTCATTCTATTAATTTTTGAGAGCTTGCTATTGAAACTCTAAACATCTTAATTTACCTACTTTAAAAAAATTATAATATATATATAATAGAACTATATGTAACTTTGTTCTATATTTTCCAAGTCTCCTGTAATGTGTTACCTTATTTTCATAATTTAAAAAAGTTAAAAAGCATTAAAAGTGAAAAATAGAACCATATTGCATGTCTGAAAGTTGCTAAGACAGTAAATCATAAAAGTTCCCATCACAAGGAAAAAGAAATTGTAACTATGTATGCTGCCAAATGTTAACTAGACTTGTAGTGATTATTTCACAATAAATGCAAAGAGCAAATCATTATGTTGTACACCTGCAACTAATATAATGTTCTATGTCAATTATACCTGAGAAGAAAGAAAGGAAGGGAAAACGGAGGAAGGAAAGGAAGGAGGGAGGGAGAAAGGAAGGAAGGAAGGGAAACAGAGAGGGTAGGTAATTTGCCCCAAAACACACAGCAGTGTGTGGCTACATAAGGATATAAAGACACATGTATCTAGTTTGGAGAGTCTGCCTGAAATAACATTCTGCCTGAAATGCCCATTCATACAGATGGAGAGGTGTGGGAACAGCTTCTGTTTCATTTACAAGGGAGAGTTATAAACCTTGAGAAAATAAACAGAGTCTATTTCTCTAATAAACTAAACAGAATCCATGGCACACTTCGGAAGTTTTTAGGGACTGAAAGAGGAACGATTTGGTAAAGACAAACCACCAGTCTTACCCCAAGCGGTCTCTTGCCTTCCACCAGTGAGGATCATACTTCTCCAAGATAAAATATTCCTCTGCTTTCTTTAAGGCTAAATCATATGGCTCTCTGGGCAGGAAGTTGTAGAGTGCCTTAACGTGGATCTTCTCTTCAGAAGCCTCAGAGGGTGGGAGGGGAGGCAGCGGCTTGCGTTTTGATGGTTGCCCATGGCCCCTGTTAGGCTGTGAAAAACTAAGGAGTGAGCCGCGGTACTATTGCTTAAGTGCTCTAAGCTAAGAAAGAATGGGGTGGAGAGTATCTGCCTGCCGCCTTGCTTCTCCCAGCTTGCTGCGGTAAAGCAGAAGCCCGGGTGGAATAACTGTAGGAAATGACTAACTACCAAACTACTTTCAGATCCAGCAACACACTCACCATTTTGTAAATTCTCAAGATCACAAATTCTCTTGCCAGCATGGCACTGAATATTTTTCATGTCATAATTCTTAAAAATTTATTTCCTCCTTAATAATTTCACTTTAAGGATTTTTCTCCTTCGGAAAAAGGAGGAAAAAAAAAAAAGAAGCTTTTCCCTTTAATATGCTGTAAGCTTGTGTTTGGGCTTATCAACTTCCCAAGAAAACTTATTTTTTAACACTGAACTGAAAATTAATCCCGGCCTCAAAATGGTGATAGCCAGAAGGCATTTTTCCCCCAGTTTCAAATTCTGCCAAAATATTGCAGAATAGGCCATTTTAACTGGTCTTTTTTCCTTTCCCTGTCTTCTAGGCTGTTGATTCACTAAAAGTTTATTGAGAACTTATTATGTGCCAAGCATGACATTAGGTCTGGGCAGGGTAGCAAATGGTCCCTCACGAAGCACAGACCCTAAAACTGGCACCTTCCTCCACCCGCCTTCCTCCCCATCAAAATGATACTCACTTGCTTCTTACTTGGCAATTTACTGAACCAGGATGGGCGACGCTGTGTGTATTTTTCTGAAAGTTCTTCATCTTTGTTAAGGCTTATTTGTGTCCTCACTTGTCTGACATTGAAAAATAATCACGTTACAAAGGATTATTTTACTCTTACCTATAAATCCACTAGACTATATAAACAAGCTAGTAGTAAAGTCTCCTTCCTATTTTTATTTAGAAGACTTCCTAACTCCGTTTCTGTGGGCAAGGTACTCTGGGACCTCTCAGAACTTTATTTTACTTTTTTTAATCTAGGACTAGAGACACTAAGAGCATATAGAGTTGTTATGAATAATAAAATTGAGAAAAATACATGTCACGTGGGCAACGGAGTCTGGAGAATATTAAGGGCATACAATTACAATCACGATAATGAAGACCTTACTCTGCATCAGGCACAGTGTTGAACATTTCACATGCATCGCCTCATTTGAAAGTATCTATTGCTAAAAAGTAGACATGGTGTAGCGATTAAGAACATGAGTTTGGATCCCAGATCTACCATTTTTAGAGTGTGGCCTTGGGCAATGTAACCTCCCTAGGCCTCCATTTCTTCATCTGTATAATGGGGATTGAAAAAACAAACAAATAAAAAGGGTGGTTTTGAGAGTTACTTGGGCTAAAAAATGTAAACTTTTCAGCACAGTCTGACATATAGGACTCCCATTAAACGGTGGCTGTTACTATTATCATGGCACCCTGGATTTTTATCTTTATATATCATTTACTGGGCACCAAAGTATAAAACACATTGGTAGTTTCAGGGAGAACCTCAAATAAGACAGGATTCTTGCCCTTAAAAGGTAAAAATTACAGAATGAGACACAGACACATGAATAGCACGTGTGAAACAAATATTAAATAGAGAACCAGGCTGCATGCTCAGGGAACACAATGGAAGGAGCAGCTAAGTCCAAGAGGATCGAGAAAGGACCATGGACCTGACACGTGACCGATCACTAGCTTTAAATGAATGGCCATTCAACAGGGAGAAAATGGGAGTTTCCCAGGCAGAAGAACAGCAGATTCAAAGAGACGTGGAGATTCCACCCGAGAAGTTGCCCTCGGACTCACCGCTTCTGCATGGAACAGCAACAGCAGCAGCAGAAAATCGACTGGATGGTGTTATCTGATAAGCAGATCATCTTCAGCTGTTAGGAAGACAGGAGTCCATGATATTGGAAAGAGGAGGCTGCTGGCACTTTTCCAAGGGAGGAAATCTCTGAGGGCATGGGTGATAGAAAGTATCCTATTAATAAAGCACATGCAAACCTTTACCATGCCCTTCTTCACTAGTAAAAGATGAAAGATTGTCACTAACTTGAAAATAAGTTACTGGTACCCTGGCCACTGTGGTTTCCTTTCTCAGGCTCTTGTCTCTGGGTCTGGTTTCACACATTTCCTTAGTGAATGATAAATGACCGCTGTATTCTACTTTACCTTGATCAGGGCTGATGTTGGCTGACAAATGTACCAAAGAATATGATTCCGAAAACAACATTCTCCTAGGGAATCTGCTAGTAGGGATTTTAAATTAGGTCCATTACATTTCTTCAAATATATTTTAAAATATGTTTATATAAAGTAATATAAATATACTAAATATATTTATAATATTATGTAGTATATAATAATATAATTTAGCATGTTTATTCTATTTTTATATTTTGTGTATAAAAATACACTTACCTTTTTGGATCTCAAACTTTCTATGGATTAGGTTCAAACAAACTAAATATTTAAGGAAAGCACTAACTACTTAGTAAGTCTGGGTCATTCTTACACTTCTTTTGTCAAGCTTAATCTTTATTTGTTAGATTATTTACCTATTTTCAAATCATAAATAAAATTTGAATTTATCAAAAGCTGTTTTATGTTCATAGAACCTACATTTCACAACAGCTCTTTCTCATACTGGCCCCTGAAAATGAAGTATTATTGAGAAAGCAGAGTACATTAGCTTTGAGGTTAGAGAGGGCTGCATATGAATTCTAGCTGGAGGTGGGTGGGGTGCTGACTACATCTGGAATAAGTCCCTTTACTTCTCTAAGTCATTGTTTTCCTATCTGTAAAAACAAGAAAATCATACCTATCCCCTATGAGAAGCCTTAGGGAGCAGAGATTAACCTCCACCTTTGTGGGTTTGGGCAAGCTACTTAACTTTTTGTGCTTAAGTTTCCTCATCTGTAAAATGGGAATAACAGGATACTTGGCATGTAAGGCTACTGTGAGGATTAATTGAATGAGCTCATACACAACACCTAGAACAATGCCAGGTATATAGTAAGAGGGCAATCAAGATCTGTTATCATTACAGTGTTGTTGAAAAGATTAAATAAGATATTTTCTCTAAAGTAAAGTTTCTCTCCTGGAACATAGAAGAGGGAAGGATACAAGCAGAAGACACACAGTATAATCTACCCCTCAGCATCCACTCTGTGCCCCCAGAACACAGGATACAATGGGGCCCCATCAGCTACCATATTATCACCAGGTGATGTCAATTTGATCACACTCCCCCCTAAAACCTATTACCTTAACCACCATTAGGATTCTTACATCAGATAGAGAAAGAAACAAGGTGAAAACAAGAGTAACATAGGACACGGGTACTCCAATTCCCAGCTTTATAGCTATCCTGAGTCCTAAGTTGATCATAGATGCCCTCTGTCACCTTCCATTCCTTGGGCCCTCTTGCCTTTGCTTACACTTTGGTGGAAGGAGTTTTCATCTGCTGGAATTGTCCAAATGTTCATTCCTGTAGGATCTGGGTCCTCAGTTGGTCTTAATGGGGTTATTACAATTTTCTACAGACCAGGATTATTTTGAATATTAAGAAATGAAGCTAGTGGCTACTGTTGCCTCCTGAGGTGGCCCACACTCTGTGGAGTGTATTTCTCTCTAAATAAATCCACCTCTTATTCTCTCTAAATAAATCTACCTCTTACCTATTATTTTGTCTCTCACTGAATTCTTTCTGTAATGAGACATTATGACTGAGCTTCATTAGGTCCTAAAACCAGATACTGAAACCCCTACCATATGGAAGAAGTTAACCTCATGCCACCCACAAGCCATGATCCCCAGACCTGTCGGAACCAGAAGTTGATGATGCTCACTCACCACGAGCCAATTAACAGCGTGTCCATGAGCTGAGCACGCCCTGCTCCTTGAACCAGTCCTATAAAACTCATTACTGCCTTCAGGGGCAAGACAGTTTTGAGGACATTAGCCCACTGCAATCTAACCCCCTTTCCTGGCAAAGCAATAAAGTTATTCTTTTCTACTTCACCCCCAAAAAGGAAAGAAATGAACCTAGTATGTCCTCATTGTAAAGAATGAACCCAGTTTCTTCCTGGAAATTGGGATACGCATCTTGGATACATTGAGTCCTTTCTGTGCCCATCAACTCACCGATACCAAGAATCCCACAATGGTCAGAGGGCAGTCTTAGCTCCCAATATTCCCTGAAAAAAGGATTCTTCTCTTGGGCACTGGTATCTCCAAGCTCACCAAACCCAAAAGTCACAGGGAAAAGAAAATAACAATATTCCAGTGGGTTATTAGTTGGTAAGAGGGGCCACTCCTATCTCTTCTCCCTCAGTTGCCAGACTCATGCATCCTAGCTTTATGAAGACATCACCACATGTACTGCTGGTTTAAGACATTTGTATCCTATAGAACATCATTCCAACTTTGCAAGATGTTGTCTCCCAGATGTCATAGGAATTGAGGCTTTAGCAGGCCATTTAGCAACCAGAAGCCAGAGAGCTTGGAAGCATGTTGAACTAAGCCCTACAGATTACTTTTCCAGGAGAAGAGGGAATACCAAGAAGCCAAGCTCACTAAGCCACCATGGAGGCTGGTTCCACATTTAACTCCTGCTCGTCATCCTTCCAGGATAGAACAAGGTGAATAAGAATAAAGAGGACACCCAGACAGTAATCAATTATATATTGTTTCCTTTTCCTTTCACCGAAGTTGACCTTCAAAACCTAGATTCATGTATTAGTTACATGCCTTTCTCTGATTTGTACACTGCCGTTATTCTGTCTTTGGGCTATAGACACCTTGGGGGTCCAGTGGCAAACATCTCATTTCTATCAAGCAAAGATTCACCTTTACCCCTCTGATTTAGTAGGTTTCTTCCTTAGCCAAGAAACCATCTGATCTCTATCCCAAAGTTGATTTCTGGAGACCCAAATAGAGTCCCTCTGAAATTTGCTCTACACTGTGTATTATTAGGCTTTTGGGTCTCAACTGCTTCTGTCAGTTTTCAAAATCTTACTGTTTTTCCCACCCTTCTGTTACTAAAAAGCCCTAAGTCTCCATTATCTGAATTATACCAATAGCTTTCTAACTTCCTACTGCTTCTACCCTTGACTCCCCCTATGGTTTCTTTTCTGCAGAGTAATTAATTTAAAACCTAGGTCAGATCATGCTACCCCTTGTCTCAGAAACCCACAACAGCTCTCCATTTCACTGCGCGTTTGAGCCAGTTTTCTCACAATAGTCTATAACCCTCCCATGGTCTGGTTTTCTGGTGCCTTCTCACCCATCTCTCCAATGTGCTCATGCTCATTTACCCCCCACACACTGGCCACACTGTCCCCACAGTGCTTCCGGGCCAGGCCTGCTCTCAGCAAAGGCTCTTCACTTCTCTTCTGCCTGGACCATTATTCCCTTGGGTGTCAGTCTTCATCACCCTCTCCACTCCTCAAGTCTGCTCCAATCTCACCTCCTCAGTGAAGAGTACCCTGACCCACGACTATTGCTACCTGTCCTCCACCCACTAACTTCAGGATTCCTGACTTTGCTCTATTTTTCTTCTTCTTCTTTTTTTTTAAAATAACATTTCTCACATGCTAACAGGATAAGCAATTTATTATTTTTTTTCCCTTACTGTCTCCTCAACTAGGATGCAAACAGGGGTCATTGTCTACTTTGTTCACAGTTAGATCCCAAGAGGCTTGAACAGTTTTTGACACCTAATCATTATTCAACAAATATTTGTTGAGCAAAATAAATATATGAATGAATGGGTTTGAAGGAGCATCAAATGATAACTTTTTCAAAGCACCCACCTGTTTTGATTCAATCGCAACAGGAAAATGAAAACTGAATGTGTGGGGGACAGAATAAGCAGGTGCAACTAAATAAGCAGCAGAATAAGTAGTGAACTGTAAGAGTGGGGATATAAGATTAGATTATGAAAGTCCTTGAAATAAGAGAAGATAGGGTATTGACTGTATATGTAGAACGGAGTCATTACCGAAGACAGAGAACAATTTGGTCACAATAAAGCAGAATAAACTCTGTACTCAGTCTAGAAACCTTTGTAAGATGGTCTGGCAAGGTGAGTGATGACCTTCATGGCCACAGATTTTAATATAAACTAGAACATTGAATATCATCAAAGCTAAGTATTTAAAATGGTTACTTTACTCCTTGAATAACTTCTGGCATGCTAAGAAAGCAAAGACCCAGAAAATCAGGTAGGTCTGTGACTAGTCAGTTGCCTATTCTAGGACTGAAAATTTTTGAAAGTATATGATTTTTAGTGAGAGATACAAAGATTTTTTTATTTCTCTAATTCAGCCAACTGTCTCACCTTTTACCCAATCAGAATTATTATCTTCCTTGCAAGCCCCAATAAGAAAACTAGCCAATCATTTCCCCTTTCCAGTTTTCCTTTGTCTGTGTATGAGTCCATCAAAATCATGGATTCTCTCTGAGCCCCATCCTTTATACCCAATTGCCATGATTCAGTTCAAATTGTTCAGCTTTTTACTTCTCCCCACTGCTACCAGCCTAGTCCAAGCCCTCAGAAGCCTGTACCTATAATTCTGCATTAATTCACTTAATCCTCACAATGACCCCATGAAGGAAGTCCCATTTTTCAGATGAAGACTCTGGGTCACAGAGATGTTGAAAGTCAAGGGCTTGTAAGTGGAGAGCCAGGATTAGAACCCAGGGAGGCTCACTCCAGAGTCTGCTCTGAACCTCTGGGCACCCAGGGCTTTTTCAGTGACTGAATGAATGGGTCAAATTCCCCACTGGTAAAATTCCTCCCCCTCAATACGTACTATATACTCATTTCCCTAAAAGTCTATCTTAGCTAACTGCTCCACATCTTCAGCATCTAAAATGACTCTTTGGTGACTATAGTTAATAATACTGTATTGCATTTCTGAAAGGTGCTGAGAGATTAGATCTTAAAATTTCTCATAATTACACTGTAACCAGGTATGCTGACTGATGTTAACTAGACTTATTGTGTTGCTCACTTTGCAGCGTATACATG